TATATATATATATCCAATCAAAAAAAGATATGTATAACAACAAATACTACAAAACTAGGGCCTGTTGTGTATCTACGATAACTAACATAACATCAAATTATTACTAACCTTTTCAATAATAATTATAACATTGTCACTTTCAGCCATCTGTTCCTTAACTTCTTCCAGTTCTCGTTTTAGATTAGCGACAACCTTGAAAAATAGAAAAAAGAAATAAGAAACTTGAAAACGATACTAAAAATTGAATAACACCAAAAATGCTTCTATCATGGACATTCATGCATTTCTATATGATTTGGCAAAAGTGTGAAAATTTTACCAGGAACCATAATTATTGAGTAATCTAAACCTCAGGATCTATTGCTGGTTTTACTGGAGGTGCAGATGCTTGTACTGTGGCAGCTGCAACGGGTGGGACATTTGCTCGAGCTGCATAAGGTCTTGCTCCACCGGCAGCCATCTTTCGAGGCTCATTCTTATTCACAGATGTATTGGATGTTGAAAGCGTAGGTTTTCTGCAGAAAAACATCCAAAATACTCAAAAAATTAAAAAATAGCAAATGTATAATTTATTAATTTTTTCGTAATGAAAAGTATATGTGTAATTAAATAACAACATCCTCATATTAGTACTTCAATCAAAGGTTGAAAGAATCAAAACTAATTCAAGATGATCACCAACATGAAAAAAATAAACTTCAGTAAGTCTAAGTTTATTCGATCAATCAGAAAAAACTTTCGTCAAAAAAAAGCTTTAAAAATTAAATGTCAAACTGAAAATTTTTTTGCAACACTTCATTATTTCAGTAGTACAGACACCAACTTCACAACTGGAGCAGCCGATCTTGCTGGTACTCGTGAAGGTGTATTCACTTTCACTTCAGATGGTAAAGGTTCGCCGCCCCGAGCCTCCAATGGATCATATTCATGGCCATCAAAATTTGCATCAAAAAATTTTTTAAACCATTGCAAAAACTCAAAATTATCCTGAAATATAAAAGATACAAGAACAAACATTAGTGTTCATTGGTACTAAGCACCACGAACATCTTGCAAAGAAATAACCTGAAATTTTCCTTTGATAAGCTTCTCAACAGGAACAATTTTATCAATGCCCAAAGTTCTCCACGACGTTTGTAACAACTTCCAATTACTCAGCCAATCTAATTCTAACTTACTGTTCCATTTAACACGTCGTAATTGAATAGAGCCAGGAAACAAAAAATCAGTGAACTGAAAAACCCATTAATTGCAATATGTACCATCCATTCTAAAAGAACTCATATGACTTTAAATTAAGCTGAAATTTTCTTGCCATCTTAGTTGGAAATAAGGATGCTAAATACCAAGTATTTAGAAAAAAATGGTATCTATCTTATCCATCAGTAACGAAATTTCGATTCACCTGACAGTAAGCAGCACCCGTATGCATTTGTTCAATTTTCGAGAGATTTGACTGCAGACAATCGTTCACCCACATCAGCATCTCATGACGAGATAGATTCTCAGTTGTTGCCGACGTAGTATAAACATTTATAACCGACATCTTAACAAAAATATAGTTAAGTAATATATAATAATGAGACTTCCAACTCACTTAGCTAAAAATCCAAAAAATAATACCTTAATCACTGCTCATATACTATGGTGTTGAACTGAATCGAGGTATTCAGTGAATTAAACTGATGCAGCTTATATTTCTTTCGAATATAGAGTTAATTCAGAAGTGATGATGGAGAAAATTTTTCGGAAAAGTTTGAATTTTTCTTCTCTAAAGCATTCAAAATATTTTCCAAGATGTACAGGTAAAATCAAGAATAATGCATTACAAGCTAACACTCATAGCAAAAAATTTGTGTGGAAAGAACAAAACCGAGCAGTCAATCTTTTTCTCTACTTTTTTGCATAAATCACACAACAAAAACAGGTTTCATTCGCGCAATTCCGTACTTTAAACAACACTTTCGATTTAATTTAGGATTAAAAGAGAAATACCTGCAACAATCTGCTTACTTCTGATGATAAACCCGCTTGAAGAAGATGCCTCTAAGCATACAATGGTCCTGAAAAACAATTCTTGAAAAGAGCGATAATTCTATAAATACGATTATTGCTTATCAGTAATAACAATGCAATTACAATCGCATGTGAGTAACAATGAAGAAACAAACAGGGAAATTTACGCTGCGAAATAAGAAAGAGGAAATACTTGCAACAGAAGCAAAGAAATACAAAAAACCTCCAGCACATTCATGAAATCACAGGAAGTAAAAGTTAAAGTCAAAATATATGCAGTACAAAAGACGTACGTAAGTGCACGAAACATTTAAAAGTTTTTTAAAGTAGTGATAATTTGGTGAAATAAATAATAGAAATGAAATTTCTAGCTTCCCTAAAACTCGAAATAATTGCTAAAATTTTAATGAAGTAAACAATTTTATTAGTAATTATTGATTGTGGTGAAGATAAGTTATGCCGCAATCTAAACTGTATTATCGTAAAGTCCTTGCTCGTTTATAAAGAAATGACGTACAGATGGCCTTGACCTGCTTCATCAACCTAGGCACCACGCCACTTCAACATCAGTACTAACAATATTCAGTTACGTCAAAATCATTATGGCAAATTACGCTACAAAATTGTGCACTGAAATTTCTATCTAACTGTTACATTTCTTTCAACAGCAACAAAAAATTAAAAAAATATCTACATATTATATTTGCTATTTTATTTTAAATTGAAAAATGTTAGAGATGCAAAAATTACCGAATTTTCTTCTGTCCAAGAATGGATTTAGGACCCAAATTAAGCATATATGAAAACTGAGGAAATTAGAGAAGAAAGAACGAATTAATCCAATCATAAAAGACATTACCCTGGTAGCCTTTCAGAAAACAGTGAATGCTGAAAACGATCAAGGAATGGCTTATTCTGTCAAAACAATGATCAGCTATTTAATCGCTGGATTCTGGTAGCAAATATGATAATAAGATGGCGTTAGCTTTTAGGCTCGGTTTTACTTCAGCCAAGCAAGAGAGTGGTGAAGAGACTGAGTAATAATCAATGTTCAAAAAGCCAATAGGAACAAAATTTTGGAGATATTTCTCTAAGAACTGCATAAGAAATTGCTGTGTTAATTTTTTACCGAGAAAAAAAGACTTCAGAACAAAGAAGGAGTTCAGACCTTTCGATACGAAAACTTAAGAGAAAACTGGAAGCGAAGAATAATCCAATTATAAAACAAGTAAATGAACTAGAACCCGATTGTTGCTGCTATTCCATCCTGCAATCCAAGATTTTTTCGATTCCATTGCTAATTCAGTCGTAGTGAGTCATCTCAAGCAGTCTTACTTTTAAACTTATACTGAAACCTTGAAAACTTAAAGTTATGATCCAGGTTTTTCAACAATGCAAAACACATAAATGATGTATGTTCCGAGCAAAAATTTTCTATCAAAAAAATATTCACTAGTGGATCGGACGAATTCTTACCAGGTACGTACACTTTGGAAAATTAGACATCAAGTAAATTCATAACGAGACAACCAAGTACCACACTCACTTGCATAGCACGCCAAACAGAAAAACCTTTTTCATTTGAAGACAATTCAACAATATGCACGTATTCTCAAAACTCAGATAACTAGCCTATACTCAAACAGTAGTTAAAAATGTGTTGGGCAAAGCTATTAACAATGACTCGGTAAACTTTTTTAAACTTACCGTTGATATGTAAAGTAGCAGATAACCTAATGTAAGCCTAAAAAGTCAAATCGATTCGAATTTTTCAAAGAGTGCATGCAATAATCGAATACTGCATTAAGTCACAATGAATGAATCATGCTAATTCTGTAAAATAGTGCTACATATAAATTTATTAAACACCCCTATTGCATCCAAAACATAAACATAGGAAGTGTGGATGTCAACCATTTGTTTACAAATGAAAAAACAATATGTACATCACTTTTATAGCTTTATTAAAATATTTCAAAAGCCAGAAGAAAAGGAAAAGAAAACAAAAAAACAAAAAACGGCAATGTCAAAGTATCGCAATATTTACAATATATCAGACTAAGAAATACATTAACGCGAAAAAAACTGAAATAGTATAAAATTTAAAAATGTAAAATGTTCGAACCTGATTTAGAAAACACACACGACAATCAAGTAAACAAATTATAACTTCATAATAAACCAATTCAAACACTTCAACAGTTGATTACATTACGACGCAATACAAAATATATTTTAACACAAAGCTGTGATTTACATTACACTGAATCATCATTCATCACAATAATAAGAAACCAAACCCTTATCTTCCAAATCACCAAATTTGTGAACCGTTTAAATACTACTTCTGCGCGAGTGATATGAAACGACATCATTCCCATCACTATATATTTTGAGACGTTAATGGAGGAAAATACAAAGCAATGAAATTTCTGAAAAAACTGAGAGTGTTAAACAAGCATGAATGATAGAAATTAATTCAGAAAAGGGATATTTGCAACAAAAAAACTTCAACTATCGTCAGATACATTAAAGTACAGAAATCACAAAAAAACAGATTACTAGGAATACCAAAGAAATATAGCTAAACATACATTGTGTGGCAGTCCACAAACAAATTTTGGAAGCGCAGTCGACCGTTTCACACACTCAATGTTGTTACGCTTCTAGAAGCGAAAACAATCAGAAAATTAGTCAATTTTGTGATATTGACATGTTTCAATCTAAAATTTAAAATATGACCTTTTCACAGAATTTTTAGGAATTGCTCTTGAATTTTCTTCTCATTCTGGATTCACTAATACACGATTGAATTTTTTCAGTATTCCAAAATATATCGATTATTATGTATTTCCTTTCTTAACATGAAAATCATTTCAGTTCAGGACGAATATTGAATAGCAAAAGACAAAAGTAAAGAAAATTAAATTATTTGAATGAATGAATTTAAGAAAATCACGGCGACCTCGACAAACCCATGCACATAGATAGTCTGAAATTTAGTAGTTGAAAATGAATGAAACAGACAGATGAGAAGCTAGAAATAAATTAAAACGAAATTCTCGCTTGGAAAATCATAGTTTCATATTAAATTATCACATACATGTCTCAGTTGAAACACTAGAATAACTGAAATTACTGATTTCATTAAAAGAATTAAAGGAAAAAGTACAAACGATAACTCAAATATTGCACTAAATTCAAAAATTAGTACTTTTAAAAAGCCGTTGATGAAATATCACTACGTTGAAGAGTAACACTACTTTCTTCTGCAATAAAAGGACATCGAAACTATTTTTAAGTACAAAAAAACTATAAGTAGAAACTAACATGCTTCGATTTCGTTTTGTTTCATTAAGAGGAACTTGATCACCGACAAATCGATTTTCAAATAACGGATCGATATTCACTGAAGATCTCACATCAATAGAACTCATGTCATCGTCATCTTGAGATGTCGATCCATAAAGCTGTTCGAGTTGTACATAAACGCTCAACGGACGATGAGATGGTACGTTATTACATGCTGATATGGGAATACGATATGAGCCATCCTTAAACAAAAAGTATACATATTAAAAATATAACATTCTATTCTCCTCTTCAGAACATCACTTTTCTCCAAAAGATAATTCTGGAAAAGTAAAAACATAAAAATGTACATTTATTTTTTGTATGTACCATTCGCATCTCCTAATATCATGCATATTCATCCTTCTTTCTGGATCTTTATCCAGAACAGCAGTGAGCAAATACTCTAAAGAGTTTGACAGCTGTACGCTACGTGGCATTTGCAGTGGTTGGTTGGCAATATTGTCAAAAAGACGCATTATCACATCTCCTTCAAATGGATATTCTCCACTCACCAAATTATATAAGGTCACACCACTTGCCCAGATATCTACTTTTCGACCTCTAAAACTTGAAAATGCTTAATTGCAAATACTGGACACTAAATGTAAAAAAAAGAACTCACAAAATCTTGACTAACTAAAACGTGAACTGAAAATTAAAATGAACAATATTAATAAAACGAATTTAAACACACTGTTTAAGTTTTTCTGACAATATCTATATCAAGTGCCAAATGTGAAATAAAAAAACTCCTAAAGTTTGCAAAACAAATACAATAAATCATACCGATAACTCTCATAAGGACCTGAAACAATTTCAGGCGGTTGAAATTTAGGAGTGCCTTGTACAACTTTGCACCAATCTTCTTCTTGAAACATATCAAGCATCTCAGCAACACCAAAGTCACTAATTTTCAGCGTACCATTCAAAGTAACAAGCAAATTACCCGGTTTGATATCTTTATGTATTACACCTAAACATTAAATGAGTAATTAAATGAATTTAGCTCTCTAGTTTTAAGAAGATTATTGCTGATCTTGTACCGTAAGTCTACAACATGAAAAACCTTGCACCAAAATGAGCTACCAATAGTAGCTAAATGAAGCTAAATGATATGATAGTCATGACAATGGGAGAAGCAAAAAATTTATCTATTAAAACATCATGACACAAAAAATTCCAATCTTTCTTTTGATTACAGTTTCATCACCACAGTCTTATGATTTCTCAAGTGGTGGATTAAAAATAGACAAAAAAACCTAGTACATTAAGTTACATACCATGAGCATGAAGATAACTTAAGCCATCACAAAGCTGTCTAAAAAAATATTGTGCTTGACCCTCAGAAAATTTTTTTTCTTTGACTTTATCCAACAGTTGTTGCAACGAGCCTATACAATATTCCATTATTATATACAGTTTATTCCTTTCATGAATACGAAAAAAATCGTGTAAGGTAATAACATTACGGTGTCGAACTCTCCTCAATATTTTCAATTCCTGTTCAACGTTAGCCTGAAAGATTTTTCTGAAAGCATAAATGATTCTATGAATTTAAAATTACTAATAATAACACGCAATGCACGTACATGGCCATTTGGAATTTTTCTTAAGCGTGCTTCTTTGATGATCTTAACAGCTCTTCTAACTAAAGTATTTTGTTCCAAAACCTCCTTCACTTTCCCATAGGAACCTTCACCAATGCCTTCGCCGAATAAATAGCCATTTAATATTTTTGGTTTTTTCTCCACAAAAACTTCTTCAACAAACTGAAAGGTTAATACAGAATAACAAAGAAACTTAAAGTACAGGTCATCAATTACTATTTTCGAGTCAGTTAATGCTCCCTTCCAACGAATCAATACACTAACAACCTCTTTCCTTCTATTAATTATATTAAAATATTTCCACCACAAAATACTGCATTTATCACAAAAAAACCAATTGACAAGTTTCTACGTACTGCATCGCTTGAGAGTGGATTGAACAATCGATTACCATCAGCAAATACACTATTAAGAACTGCATCATAGTCAGGACTGCAGTCAGACGAAAATTCAACCTTTAAAAACAAAATAATAATACGAAAAAAGTATGTGACCTACAAAAGTATCTGTGAAAAAGTAATAAACTCGAAATAATCCCAACAAATGTTAAAGTGTGATTTAGTTCCAGCAGAAAAATATAATAAACAGTTAAAGATGTACTTACAACTGGCTTCTCCAGTCCGCTAGAGGATGGTCCAGCCAAAGAGTTCCATGCTCGTAAACTTTCCTTGAGATCATTCTCATCAGCTTCTTCATCAAAATCATCACATTCATCGCTACCTACGGTCATACTCTGTAATAAAATGAATTCATCACTTGTCATTTAAGCTTTTTCATAACTCATTTGCATGCACATTGAGCAAAAAGATAAAAAAACACCTTGACATGAGTAAATTACAGCAATTTAGATCAAAACGACATACTTTCTAGTTGCTTTAAAATAATTTGCTCAAGCAGTCTATGTGATCATCTAAATATAATTACATAACATGGTGAATCTTAAATTATATTCATTAATATTATAACTTGTCTAGCCTTATTAAATTGTAATATCCTAATGAAATGAAAAATTTATTTAGTATAGACATGAAGGCATATTTAGTACGACTAGTCAGTCTTCCGAATTCGCAAAATCTACTTTCACAGAACAAAAATTAAAATACAATTTGATTAAAACAAAACAAACCACAGTCCGCCACCGAAAATTGCCTGATTTAATTGACATTGTGGCACTCATCTTGGAGCTCGTTCATCAGCTTAATAACAGAAAGAAAATAAAAACACTGGAACTATCCCATCGGTACATATACCTGGAACGATTTAATTCAGATATAGTCGTGCAATAAATAGTATTCGTTAATTAAGTATTGCATACACCACTTTTGCTTCAATAATGTACAATCAATTCGATGTCTTTTTTAAAATGTAAAGCCCATCTAAAGAATAAAATATTTAAAGCACAACGTAATAAATTTAATATGACGTATCATCTTCGTTTACAAGAGGATGTCACGTTTTAAACAGTAAGAAAATGATCAATTTTAATTTCATGCCCTTCAACCAACTTTATCAAACAGTTCCAAAATTCTTATCACAAACATTTATAATCGATTTCTCCCAATCTTGCGAATAGTCCATTCAATTCCAACTTTCCTAACAAAAGCTATCCATGCCATATTCCTCATACTTCAGTACACAGAGGTTAGTACCACTACGATAGCTTCAATTAATAGATTCAAAGTGAAAATCAATTTCTCAGTAACCAAAAGTCACTGTGCAAACACATTTCAGTACTCAAGAGAAAACTGACAACTAATCTAAGAGTAATATTTATCAACACAAAGTTACTAATTCAACTGATGAAAATACATCAGTTACAGCTACCACCATTTCCTTCCTATGCAGTCTTTTGGCTTCATTCGGTTGACTATTCTAATCGTTACGACAGAATGAGAGCAAACGTCTTGATTGAACGACAACATACTCTTTATTCCCAAAAATTACATACCATACTTTTAAAAACTGGAAAAGCTTATATCGTATCTGACAAGAACTGAATCTTAATTCGCCAGAACTACTATCGTTATACACCAAGCAAAATTATTACGCAGTTACTTGAAATTGGAATATAAAACACATATAGAGTAGCGCAGCATCATTGTTTCGATATGATATATAAATAGGTTACACAAGAATAAAGAAAGCAGAATATACAAAGTCTTTTAAAACATGACGAATCGGAGTGATATGGAAAGGTGCTCGAAATAAATGATATGCAACGACGACTCTAGAAGTCACAAGTTACATACTTGTTTTAAAGATATGGATTGATCGGAAGCAGTTTCCAGCAGAATGTTATTATTAAATTTAATTAGGAAACTGATCTGGAAACGAAGATTTTTGAAAATTCTAGAGCTAAAAATTATGGATTTAGCTTAAAGTTCCTTCATATTGTATCACTAAAGAATTGAACCAGAGTTATCAAAGTACTCTTTCTTGATTTCAGGCCAACTTTATAGTCCGCATTTCAAAAAATTGGGATTCACATGTATTTTTAGAAGTAATCAAATGCACAATAATCGATTTCGCAATTATTTCAAGGGACAACAATGCAGAGTACATTAAATTACACCATACAAATACTCAATAAGTAATAAAATCGATTATTCTTTGGCAATATAAGACGCATGACAATAAGGGAATTGTGAAACAAAGATAAAATCTTACCAAAAATCTTGGCTAATGATTTTAATCTATGTTCTAATCAAGTTCTGGTTCTATCATACCTCCATCAATGCAGTCAAGAAAGCTGCTTATTACATATTCTTTACAGTTTATACCATCATTCAAAAAATCCAGTTCCTCTGGCTCGAACAATACGTTGTCTGATCTTTTGCAAGCATAAACCGATGTTGGTTTGTGCAATGTTTCTTTTTTATTCTGCTCAATCTGCAAATAATTAAACATTTTCATAGAACATATAATCTATAGCACAAATGTCGATTCTTCCAAAAGAACACACACACTTAAATTAGGGATTATGATGTACTATACAGAAATACTTGGTAACTACACAAAAATTCTTCTGTGCACAAATGTGTCTGCGAGCTCAAAGCTAGACTAAACTCATCTGAGTAAACCAAAATGCTTATACCTTTGGAGTCACCAATGGAGTTTTCATGTATTCCCTATCATTTTGAAGAGAATCCAATTCTTGCATAACCTCCATTCGACGGATATCAATAGATCGGCACCCATGGCCAACACCTATTATTTTTCAAATTACACGAAGAAACTACTTAAAACACACCACATAAAACCTTTTACTGCTTTATAGCACAACTTCTTTTTTAAGTAAATTACAAAATTGTCACTACCTCATTCAATTTCGCAATACCCTATCTTATTTGAAAGTTTCTGAATAAACTTACCAAACTTATCATCAATAGCAAATTTGAACAGCTTATATTTAGCTTCCTCATATATATCAGGTGATATATTACAGTGCTTTTCCAAATGCTCACGAAAGAATGCGGATGAGCATGTAGCAAATGTACATTTCCGAAGAGGACAGCCAAATGTTGCTGAAAGCCCAAAATGGCGCGACCTGAAATGAACAACATACCCTTTACATTTCATCCATTGAAACCAATTATTCTATGAAGTAAAACAAATTTACTGACGAATACCATAGAAGACTGGGAGTGCAAAAAATAAAACATTAAACTGACCCAATATGTTGCTGATAGCTAGCAGGTTCCATATACATCTCATTGCAATAAGGGCACTGATAACCCCACGCTTGTCGAGGTACGTGATTTCGTAGAGTATGGCGCCTAAGAGTCATTTGACTTGCTAAAAAGTTGATGATCTTCATCAAAATCGAGACATTGTCAAACACTGCTTGAATAGTGCTTAAAAAATGTCTTAAATAATATCAAATGCTCTAAAAACACCTCATCAACAAATATAAACAATAAAGAGTAGAAATGTAAATTCTCAGTGACAACTATTTTTCAGGATATATATTTTTAATATTCACGAGCTTGTTCAACTTTTTTAATTTCCTATAAAGTATACAAAATGTAACGGTTATTTAAGTATATATATCTCGGTGCCATAAGTTATAATAATCTTGATAACTCATACATTTATACAAACTGCCTGGCAGTACTCTGTGTAAAAACGTGTAAAGTCATTTTTGCTATTTATATTGCATCCTTACTACTAATTGAACTTTTTTTAAACTTTATTAGTCAATCAAAATTGCTTAATGATAGTTGAGTATAGATTAATAAATGACAAAATCTCATGATATTTCTAGGTTAAGTTCACCAGCTGCATATCCACAGTGAGTACAAGCGAATGGCCTTAAATTTGTGTGTACATTAAAATGTTCGTCGTATGAACGTTTAGACGAAAGTTTCTTGCCACAGAGTTCGCAAGTCCATTTGACCTTAGCCGTTAAATAATTACGATTACAAATCTGGAAATACGGTGTAACTTTAATACTTAAGTGATGGCTTCATTATTGCATGTTTATTCTTTTATCATTTTGAAACGGTTAATTTGAAAAAACCCTTCTCAAGCAAAACTATCCTCAGTTACGATGATTCTCAGCAAATTCTAGCACAAACTTTATGATATAAATGGTGATAGAATGCATACTCAATATAATCTTATCAAAATGCTTGAAGTGAATACCTTATAATTTTTGTTAACGCTTGTTAGAAGTTGTGATCGTGGCAGTGATGACGACGGCACAGTTACCATATGTGGCATCATTTTTCTGACATAAAACTTTTTACTTATTGTTAAAAACCTATCATTTTTAAATAATCACAAATGATAGACAGAAAATATTAGTCAAAGAACTGAAAAATAATGATATCAATTATCAAATTTTTCAAAAGATAAAACAAAGCTAATAAGTTTGTATCACTGGACTATAAGTTATAATACTTCTAATCAGTAAAAGTAATAAATTCAAGATATCTCCTTGATTCTTCAGACTCTTTTACTGCATGGCAAGGTGAATAAAATGCAATGAGAGACAACAATTTTCATTCCAAATTTTCTAACATCAAACCATGATAGATACTTCAGTAGCAGAATAACACTTCGGCTTACATCAAAGGCGTTCATTGATTAATAAACCAACGGGCTGCAGAAAAGTTATTATTTACATTATGGTGTAGCAATGATATGATCAGTTCAGTGGTATATTCTGATACTTGTATGATAATCTGGTACTTGTGTTTGATCACTGTGAGATATGTATTCGCCAACATAATTCGAATTATTTCTTTAATACTAGCCAAGAGTACGTTTATTTTCACGTATAAGCGTCAAATTTACATATTTCTTTCTAGAAAAAATTTTCCATTCTTGGATTTTCTACTATTAATTATTGACTCTCATTTATTTATGATTGAAATGTTGTACTGAAGTATTTTGTTTTTTACAAAAGCATATTCTTTACTGCATTCTGCATGAGATTACTTTTGTTTAGGTTCAAAAATTGCACAGAAAGAAGTGAAGTGCCATAGATTGAACTAATGAATATTGTATGTATTTCACGTAGTTTATTTTGTGCACGATGCAATATTATTCGAAAATTATCACTGTCGTATTCAGCCGGAACCAGGTATGTCTTTCTTATTAATTGCAGAAAAAAAATTATTATTTGAATCTATGCTGCCATCAAGTGAAGTGAAGATTCTTAGTAACTGATTTCATTAAATAAGTTGTGCTTGATGTTTCTGTAATTGTACTTGTTTGATTACATCCATAAATTTATTATGGATTACTTTACATTATGGTGTACTTTAAGAATATTTCAATGAGTGTTTAAAAGTCCACATGAGTACTTGGTAACTTACAGAAGTTTATGCACTGCGTTCCACTCAAAATTGTTTTCAAACTTGAACGCATTAAGCAGTAACGGCAGTCTGAGAAATAATGTTCGTTTATTTCTGCCGAGAAATGTGAGCCTGCTAAAAAATTATTTTCAAATCTTTTTTCGCTTGATGATCATTTATTATGCAACTGCTAAAATAGCAAAGTTTTGAAGATTTATGATATGTAGTCAAGATGTGCGGTGTTTAGTCATTCACATTATCGGATATTTTATTATTTAAGCTCTCGAAATCCGCAAAGCGGACACCTGCAAAAGTCCGGAATGTTCGATGGAAAGACTTGCGAGATATTTTCGCGCTTGTTTACCCTTGTAGAAGACGAATATATAGTAAGTCATGCTTAATTTCAAATAAGTTTTGCATTGGAGTTTCAAGTAAATCATTTACTTAAATAGATTTAGTATTGAATCTTTATAAGTTTTTGTGTGTAAGTATGCTGAATCCTTAATGCTTTTGAAATTTAGTAAATGTGACACTTTTTTGTAGCTGGATTGCTCTTCTTACTGATTGGAAACACAATTGGTCTCCTCTTGCCTCGAATAATTTTCATGTTCATTGACGTGGATGGTAATTGTGAAGAAAGACAAAGTGAAGGAAATGAAGATGATAAAAATAAATATTTTGTTTTGGCTGCCAAATATCTTAAAGTGCATTATATGGTGATGTTCAGTCTTTTTTTTATCGTCGCTGTCTCCTATGGAATCAGGCACTACTGTATGCACACTGCGGGTATTTTTTATGATATTTATTAATTTTTGAAACAAACAATTGTTGCGATAGTTTTCTGATGTAGTTTTTTGAGAGTTTATGATTTTTACTTTGATATATTTAGAAACTCACTGTCTTCCAAATTCTGGTCCTCAAATTGATAAATGTAGTAAGTTAAAATTGGCAGTTTAATAATGAGTCGAAACTGATAGTTTCGTTTCATTATCACATTTTGTTATAAATTTTGCTTCAGTGTTTAGTATATCGCATTTTTAGGTCAGCTTGTGATCAATAATTTGAGGCAAGATGTTTTCAAATCTGTTATTAATCAGGATATGAATTTCTTCAGTCGGAATAAAGTTGGAGAAATTGTAAGTCGTCTTTCAACGGATGCACTCATTGTGGGTCAGTCAGTGTCATCAAATTTAACTGTCGGTGCTCGTGCTTTCATGTCGTTCTTTGGTTCTGCTGCTATTATGGTACGTTGCGATTCCTTGCACAACTTGTACAATTGCAATTTATCAAAGCATTCTTTCTAAAATGATTCTTAATTACACAATATATTTTTCAGTTATTTTTTTGATTGTATATTTTGCTCGCAGTACCAGATGAAGTTTATTGAGTAATTTGAGATGAGTCATTATTGAAATTGTAGTTGAAATCAGAAGTCGTTTCTTATCATTGATTTTCAAAAGGGACCATTCCTCATTTATTTGATTTATTTGTTTGATTTGCTTTGAATGCATTTACCAGGATAGATGTATACGTCACCGGAGTTGTCTAAAGTGGTTACTTGTCTTACAGCAGCAATTGTTACCTCAGGATATTGTTTTGGTAATTTGCAAAGAAAATATACATTACAAATGCAAGAAGCAGTAGCTGCGTCGAATGAGGTACAACTTCAATTTCTTGTTTTTTTATATTTGATTTGATAACTTCAACTCACTTATGGTCAAATGAAGTAGTGCTGAATAAATGAAATATAGAACAATTGACAATGCTGGCTAATGGTAATTGTATTTCTTAACTTGCGAAGTGTATTTATATTCTTTTTATTATTTCAAAGAATAATTATTCCTAGAATTCAATCAAAATTTGAAAAGGCGTTGAAATTAAATATATATTCACCCTTCTTTTGAGGTTGCTACAGAAAAGTTTTCGAATATAATGACCGTCCGAACTCTGGTTTCTGAATTAAGAGAAAGTAAAACATATAAAGAGAAAATTCATCAGCTCTGGGTCGTTTCTCGTCGTGAAGGTCGTGCAGCAGGTTGTATGATAGCCTTGGTAAGAGTTACATTAATGTTGCTCTCTCTCGTACATAGTCGTTAGCTCGCTTGTTTAAATATCATTATCATTTTGGTACTAAATCAAATTGTTTCAGCACGAAATTGCGATACTTGCATCACTATATACAATTGTATACTCCGGTGGAAAACTAATGGATCTGGGGACGTTGACATATGGTCTGTTTTGCACTGTTTTTTCATTGATATTAATATATGATATGATATGAGATGAGCTCTTAGTTATGTTAAATTCGATTTTAATGAGAAAAGTAGCAGTGAGATTTTTTCAGGTGATCTTCTTGCATTCATTTGGTATGCAAGTTTATGTGCTTTCAGTCTTCCTGGAATGGTAAACTTTTACACAGAACTCATGAAAGGCTTAGGTGCTAGTGCAAGACTGTTTGAGCTTCGTGATCGAGTTCCGGAAATACCAATTAGAGGTAAAGAAATGCGCTTCATCAGCAAAATGTGCAATAATCTTTATTTAATTTGTACTTATCTTTTTCAGGTGGGTTTTTGAAGAACTGCATAAATGATGGAATAACATTTGAAAATGTCAGTTTTGGATATCCGAATCGGCCACTTCTATTTACAAATATCTCTTTCCACTTACCAGCTGGCAAAACAACTGCTGTAGTTGGACCCTCTGGGTCGGGAAAGAGTACTATTGCTAACCTTATACTCAGGTCGGAAAGTTCAGCGTTATCGAACAAGGGTTTGGGAAACAATTTGAAGTATTGATATCAATGAAAATCACAAAAAAATTTTAGATTGTTTGAGCCAAATTTTGGACGTGTGATGATTGATAATATGGATTTGAAGTCAATAGATCCATCTTACTGGCGACGGAATATTGGAACTGTTGCTCAGGTTTTATATTCATATATGATTTTTCTTTTTGAATTGATAATTTTTTTAATAAACACCTTTCTGCAAAGCATCCCATATCAATATTCTATTGTATTTTTAGAAAATTCAAAAATTTTCAGGAACCTATTCTATTTTCTACTACAATTAGAAATAATATTGTTTATGGTTCAAAGCAACCAGAATTGGTCAAAGATTTTGAGGTTCATTTTGTTTTGGACTACAGTATGTTTTTGTATGAGTTTTACAGTGTAAATTTCATGTATAAGTGTTTCAGCTAGAAGAAGCAGCGAGCTTAGCTAATGCCTTAAATTTCATCAAAAGTCTTCCTGGTGGATTCGAAGCTGTCGTAGGAGAACATGGAACTTCTATGCTCAGTGGTGGTCAGCGTCAGAGGATAGCGATAGCTCGAGCACTTATCAATGTATCTAAATAAATACTTTTGGTATCGAAAATGTACACGAGAAGTAAAACGTTTATTGTTTAATGATTTAAAATATGAGCAAATGTGTTGCAGCGTTTAAAATTAATGTTTCTAGAATATCAATTTTTAAACTCAAAAATCATAGGATCCTACTATGCTCATTCTGGATGAAGCAACCAGTGCTTTGGATGCTACCAGTGAAGATCAAGTGAGATCAGCTATCTTGCACCTAATCAACACTACTCAAAAAACCGTTCTCATCATTGCTCATCGGTAATAGTACATGAGCCTTCTTTTAGACCATTTATTAATGTCATCGATGCTTTTAGTCTTCTCATGTATGGTGAGTAAACTATAATATCGTTAGCTTCAATCCACATAAATTTATTATTCATGCTGTGTTGTAGACTCTCGACCATCAAGTATGCGGATCAGATAGTTGTTATTAACAATGGCACGGTAGAGGAAATTGGAACTTTCAGTGAGTTAATGCTTATAGAGAATGGTGTCTTCAGAAATTTGGTGGAGAAGCAAGCTATTGGACTCAGATAGCAGATATCATAGTTATGGTCGAGCACTGCTGATGATTTTTATTATGAAAGTGAAAAATATTAATGTCTAAATTACTATAGAAAAATAAATTTACTCATAGATTTCTTAGACATTTCATGGCTTTTTGAAGAAATGTATATTCTGATAGGTTTAATAGTTCGACTTTTTTTTTTCAGCTCTTGTCAGCCTTTTTAGTCTGGTGTTAACATGTGATTGTAATGAATGTATATCATATGATTTTTGTGACTGAAATTCTGATAGTTGTTTTGCATAAGGGTCAATCTTGTGTTGTTAAAATTTCATGAAATACTTATGATCAATTGCATGAAACGCCATTTTATGCTTTTAAGAGAAATTCGCACATTGTACAGCAGAGATTTAAACAACTTGCTTCTGCTAGCTTTGTTTTTGGTAGCATTTTCCTTTACATTCACTTTTGAAAATCAGCTGAAGCAGAAAAATTGAGGTCATGCATGATGATCATGTTCTGTTATTCCGTGTCGTATATTTGAAAGAAAGTATTGATAATTATACGAGTGATTCTCTAGTGAATATAGTATTCATCGTGCAGTCATAGTTAACAAGAGAAATTTAGAAAATAAAGTTGACAGTTACGTCTATGAAATATTGTGTGCGAGGAGTCTTATTCAATTCATTTGGCTTCTTACAGAGGGAAAAGTATAGAAGCATTTATTAGCATATGTCGACCTGTGTAGTTCATGGATTTTGTATGTTTTTTATGAATAGTGCTTTGGACAGGTAAACGATCCATGTTATTATAAGCTGTCTGCTTTTGGTATTGGTACGATGGACTGAATTGTGGTAGAAATTGGATTCTAAGACTTGAATAAAGTGTTTGTATGCTTCATGGAATTGTTTTGAAGGATATATTTAAGCTACGTGTGGGCTGAAGTTTGAAGTGCTATGTTGTGCAGTTATTGAGTTATTAAGTAAAGTGTGTGATGTATTACATTTCAGGAGAATGGATTAAGTTATTTTACTGTGTTGTAGTAGTCAAACTTTGTATGTTTGTATGTAATTTGGTATCAGTTTGTATGTATGCAGTAAAAAATTGAATAAAAAATTGGATTGAAATTTACTTTTAATTATAAAGTGAATAAGTCTATATAAACTCTTGACTCTATCACAGCAGATGATGAAGAAAGAAGTTCTCAACTTCTATCTTTATTATCATTATTTTATTTTGTTTTCTTTGAGATCAGACTTTTAAGTGAACTGGTCATTTCACGGAGATAAGAGTAGATGTTTTTCCTTTGGAAACTTTGTGTTTGAATGTTCAGCCATATTTTGATATGTTAATGTATTTGGATATAATATTTATTGGAAATTAACATTTAATGGAAATAATTTTTGTTCTTTAAGTTTATGCTTGGATCTAAGATTGATTTCTGTAGTGGATTTGGTGATCGATTTGGATATTATGCAGGAGTTTTATGATTGTTAATTTTCTCTACTTCTATTCTGACTTCTTGAGTTACAATTTGGTATGTCTGCTTAATGTTAATTGCATATAGTATTTATTTTTTAACCGTTAAATACATTATGGATACTAAAAGTTTATGATATTTTCGATTATTTAGATATGTATGGAAAAAATACTGAAAAAAAAGTAGGAATCACTGAAGTATTTTATCTATTTATTTTAGGTGAATTAATTGAGATGGATGAAAGTTTTTCTAATGATGAGGGAGTACGCTTTCGAAAAGTTAAGACTATCGTTAGTAGCGATCATTTGGCGAGTGGTACGGAAGATTCACCTTTGGATAATAAATGTAAGGAAGAAGTAATGGAAGAAAAATCAGATGCATTGCCATTTTTATGTCAAGAAGATGAAAAGGAGATTCTGGATGTTCCATGTTTTTGGGAGTACATATGGAGTGAACTTAACAGGTCAATACAATAGCCTGTTACTAAGCAATCAAAAAGATTTTCAACTTTTTGTGTTGGTTAAAAAATGACTTTGACAACAATTTGCGTTTTTTGTCACTCGTATAATATGCAAATATTTCGATTTAGAGGATATTCATTTGACAACGATGAATCACGATATACTGATAAGCAGAAAAAAATAAACGCATTTTTGAGAATACCGATTGAGTTGGAGAAATTCTTCTTTTTTGGTATATTGCAATGTTTGGAAGCCTTTTGCCAACTGTCTACATTTCTACCGATTCGTTTAACAGTATGATTTTTCAGATCAACATTTATTTCACTCAGTTTCTCAATATTTTTTTAATTATTAAAAGTCAGACTGCAGTCAGAATTCAGTCCACATGTAACAATTTTTGTGTGATTCTCTCAGTGCTGAGAACAAATTTTTTTTTTAATTTCGACGTAATAATTACTCGAAAAAAGTTTGAAATTTGAAAAAAGTGTCGGTTTTCAGATGTCTATCGTTGGTTCTGTATTGTGCATACGGAAATGGACTGCCTCAAATACTTGTGATTTTTTAAAAGCTTTTATCGTAATATTATGCTCATTTCTCATGACATTAATCGACACATCAGTGATGTATCATCAGGTTATGCCTTTGTAGTATTTTTTTTGATGCAAATTTTTACTGAAGTTCTTAAAATACTACAAAGTTGTACACAAGCTCTCATGATCAATGTGATCAAACCGTTGTTCGTCTTGATTTTCGTATGACTCATTTTCATTAAATAAGAAGCCATTATCAGGTTAAAACAGATATTTATAGGTCCGAGGACAAGGTGTAATCAAGCTCTACATTTTTTACAATATGTTAGAAGTAGCTGATAAGTTATTTAGCAGCTTCGGCCAGGTTCAGTTTTATGAATTCTTAATAATTATATACCACTGTTTCGAAATATTTTGATATTGATCCGCTAACCCACATTAAATTATTGAAGGACATTTTTGATGCATTGTTTTGGTCGAGCACTCAACCTTCGTCAAGTTTTTTGCGAATGTTCGTACATTTGTTTATTGCAGTCATTTATACTTGGCTGCATACTATACTAGTATTACTTCAGGTATGCTTATTTGATTGTAATCGTTATTTCTCAAATAAATTTGTAAATAATGAAGACCATTTCTTGTATCATTATATTACAGTTCAAAATTTAGCTTACAATTTTTAAGCTTTATAAGCATAGGTTTGTGAGTTTGTTGCAGTGTTAACAAGAAAACGATGAGGAATTTCAGGCCACGACATTAAACGTTGCATTTAATTCCCATACGCAAGCATTGTTGACTATAATGATGTCGAATAATTTTGTTGAAATCAAAGGATCAGTTTTTAAAAAATTCGCAAAAGCAAATCTTTTCCAAATGTCTTGCAGGTAAAAAATTGAGTTAAAAAAGTATTTTGGATATTTAAGCTTCATTTCTGATTTGGAATTATTGATCAGTTCTCATAAGTTCCTATAGTCAAAATCATTTTTATTCCATTTGACCTTGTGTGTCCAAGTAATGATAAGTTTTGTTCAGCATGAAAAATTAAGCTGAAGCATTAAACTGTACAGCTCCTACGTTACATTTAATCAGATTTTCAGTGATGTCCGAGAACGTTTTCACATTTTCACCTTATTATCTGTTGTCGTTGTACGAAATATGATGGCAGTGAATTGGAAGTTCGAGCATTTCATAAACATGTTGCCAGATCTTGTTTGTTCGATTTCATTTTGAAATTCGTGGAATATTTTTCTCTTGCTCTGATTTACATTATAAAGTCAGTGTATTCTGTTACCATTTTTTCAGGCTTTGGTGACTATTGCGGAGTTAATTGTTGATTGGTTAAAGCATGCCTTCATTACTAAATTCAATGAAATACCTGCAGAAGTATATCAAGGTAATGCTTTCCAGGCTCAGGAAGCAAATCACATTATTATCACTATTATTTTTGTTTATATTTTTTGATTTTAGTTACTAAATTGGTATTTGGAAGACTATATGAGTAAATACATTGGATACAGCAAGACTTTTTCTTTCAGATTTTACAATAACGATAGCTTTCGATGTCGTTCGTAGTCGAGGTGATAAAGCCTTTTCAGACTATTCAGATCAAGTGTCAAGACGGATGGGTTTCATTCCAATACCACTGACAATTATGTTAATACGTGTTTTTACACAAACATTTGATATCACGCAACTGTCTGCTCAATTGCTTTTATGTGAGTTAAACAGGACATCCTACATTTTTATTGCATTCCATTATAATTTATATAGTTTGATTTCAAAGAAAATTTAGAATAAACGTTTGCTAGATTCTTTATTTCTTGTCTTTCTCTCTGTAATGATCACAAAAGCTTGAAACAGTGATGACAAGAGTAGTAATTTACACTAATTTTATCATAGAAAATCCTATAATAATATATCTGACATATTGTAATATTTGAAATATAATCTAACCTGAAAAGAAATTTTTTGGTCTCGTAGATTTTTTTAATTTTGTAAAAGTATTGAACCTTCTGACGTTTATTAGTTCATTCCTTGTTAAAATATAGCACATTCATCTCACAAAGTACGCTTTTTCGATATATTGATTTTTAGCTTCAATTTTAGGTCTTACATGGTTGTTATTGTTGTCAGTGAAAATTTTGAATGGCATAGTTGTGATTAAAAAGGCTTGTGAGCATGTAAAATGTTATCGTGATCTCCAAGCAAAAGCGGAATATGAGGTTTTTCGAAAACGAATGCTGATGAAGAAAAGCAAAAGTGCTCCGAATTCACCTCAAATGAGTTTAATTGATTTTAAAGGTGAATTTTAAAAAAAAAATAGCTGGTAGTACTAATTATTCTGAGTTCGTTCAGAAACAGATTTCAAAATTTTTTAGATATGGTTTCTAACTTCTCGAAAAAATTCCTTTTTGCAATGGTGGTATTTTTGAGTTGCTTTGTAGGTTTTTCATTTATGTATGTTAAACTTAAATTCCATTATGTGGTCAGTAATATTCACATTCTAGATGTCCTTCATCAAACAGTTTCAAACAAGGGCTTTACTGTGTCGGATCTTATGTCTCAGTGGGATGAATTAAATTTAAATGCAGAAACAACTTTGTCACCAGAACCTCGAAGAACGAAATCGCTGGCCACTTTCAAGTAACATATTGCATTTGAATTAAATCATACTGGCAAAGAATATAGTAGCAGTTTGTCATGTTACTGATATACAAAGGTTATAAAGTAATTTTTAATGTCAAAATATTAAATCTAAATTATCAGTTACATTGCATATATATGGTAAAATGTCAAGTATTGAGTGATTCTACTTAAGTTGATTTGCATGATCGAAATAATTGGCTTTCCAAAGATCAGTTTCGGATTGCAATTAGAGAACGTCATGAATTCTTATTCGTTTTAGGTCTCAACGAGATAACTCGCTGCCACCTCATCCTGCTATCGCCGAAACAGAAGAAAAGGAAGATACGTTAGAAGTTATAGATCCATCGAAAAGTACTCCAAGAAGACGTTTGAGGACTGCTGAATGTGAAAGTCTTTCTGATGTTCAGGCTTACACAATGCTGGGCAGTACCTTAGAACCAGCAGAGGGTATACGGTTGTAAAACTTTTCAAAGTCTTTTGATCTAATCTTATATTTGAAAGCCGTATAACTTTTGTACATTGAGCAGAAGTCAGTGTAAATAAGTCATATGCTTCAATAATTGTTTTATGAATCATGCTTTGAAATATCGCGTTCAATTTCTGCGTTCATTTCGTGTTCCTTTTTTGTCCTATCCTTTTTTCAAACGTAGGTCTGGGACTGCATGCGTTGTTGCTTTCAACTTCCATAACTGAATTTTTTTTGCTATTTTGTGTACTTGGCTCATTTTCACTGCTATATAAGTATCTCGGAAGAACATTTTTAAACTCAAAAATTTCATCGACATATTAGCTTGTATATTCTATCTCTTTTTTTGTATGCTAATGATTACACCTTTCTCGGATTAAGTACATGTAAATTTTGTCACTTTCATAATCGTTTTCATGATGTTGGTGAATCTTAAAATTTCCAAGAATTAGTAAATTTTTGCAGTATCTGTTAAATGGTTTGACAGTTCTCCTAATATTAAAAAAGAAAGTCTACAAATTTTTTTAATTGGTGTTGTAGGAAACAAAAATCAGTAATCAATGTCGAGTTGCTCAGATTTGTCCAGTGGTTTTATTTCTTTCAGTGCTTTTTTGTAAGCACTGAATTCGATATTAGTTGTTGCTTGGTGTTTCCATCGAAGCTGGAAAATATACACACGGCAGTAATTTTATAGTGTCAACTATCATGCAAATATTTTTGTACCAAAATTATTTTAAGCATGCAAAATCTTCGCTTTTGTATAGGGAAGACTTGATAAATATGAAGGAAATGGTTACAAATGAATAAAATGATAAGAGTTTACAGTAATTGCTGGGTCTAACAAATAATATTAAGAAGATATGCAAACTTTCATAGCTTTCCACGCTCCAATCTTTCGTCTAGTAAAACCACATTGTTTCCTTGTTGCTTTGGAATCACGCAAAAGAGCGGAAATTTCCTTAACAAGAAAAAATAAAATGATACCTTACAGTACTTACATACTTAATATTAAAAATTGTTGTCCGCATGTTTTAAAAAGAAATATTAATTATATGTTTAGCGAAAATTTAGATAAGAATCTAACTGCCCAACTTGATAATATTTTTGGTCAACTTCAGCCCACTGATCGAATCCTTCTGGCATTGCTTCACGTCTCTTCTTTTTGCGCCGTTTACTTCCTGATGACTTCGTTCGAGATTTTCCCTAAAAACTGCTATTGTTCTAAGACATTTTTTTAATGCAAATTTTTGAAAAAAAGTTTTATATGTGTGAGGAACATATTTTGAGATTCATACAAATTTCAGTAGGATTGTTCTGGAGGTAAGATAAGTTAATTTAAACTTTTTTAATAAATAAAATAAATAAACTTTGATAAGAAATAAAGTGAGTAGGAAATGTATGTCTGTTAGAATGAGTAGTATAAGATGTATACTCATTTTTAGCTACTTACCGTTCCAGATTTCTGGGTTCCATTTTTCTGGGCTTCTTTCTGTTTATCCGGAACCTGATCAGTTGGGTTTTCACTTCCATTCGTCTGCAACATTTCAATTCAGTAAGCTTAAATATTTGAGCTACAAATCAGTTCCATCTCATCTCTAATCTTTTCATTCATATTTATTTAGTCTTTGTTTTTATGGGTAAATTATAAATTTAATCACAAATAAAACAGTTGATATTAGGTGACCTGAGTCGTAAATACCATTTAAACAAATGAAAAGACGATCCACGCAATGCAATCGTAATAAAATGAGTAATTTTACATAATATGAAGTATTTATACCATATTTTCAGGCGAAGTAATTTATTCATTTATGGTTACTTTTAATCTGATAAAATCTAATCTTTGAATATGGAAGTCCAATTAATAAACGTCAATTACGTCAAAAAGATATTTGGTAATTTAAGAACAAAAAATTTTTCACACATTATTTTTTATAAATCACAGAACAGAAACCATTAGTATTTTTAAGAAAAAAATACGAAATATTTATTAATAATTTTTGATAGGATAAATTTTGGAGTAGTTCGACGAGATTTGATTATTTAAAGAAAATGAATTATTGCCATTTCAAATTGATTCATAAGAACAAGTTCCATTATCCAAATTTCATTTTTCAAGTTACTCTGGTCCATCAGTCACGTGGACAAACTTTAGTCCATCAATGGAGTGGTCAAATTGTGCCCGCCATTATTGCTTTTTATGATGTAACGTTCCGAAGACTTCAGAACAAACATCATTTGTTTACGTCGTCATGGCAATGCGGAAAAAAAGTAACACTCCTTTTAAGCTTAATCCCATGAGCAGTTCAATTCTAAATTATATCTATTTCTGAACAAGAAACACTATGAAACCTTTTGTATTACATATGTCATTCTTGCGTTTTAAATTTGAAGTCTTATCAATTAAGCTATATAATTTCAAATTTAATAATCAAAGTTTATCAATGCTTGTCATTACCTTTATGTTCACAAGATTATGTGATTCACGGACACTATTTTATTTTATGTTTAGAAGACCTTATCATGATTCCGGCAGATCCAAAACCATCATGTTACGTCGAAAAGAAACCTCAACAAGTATGCCTAGAATCAATATGCTAGTTTTTCCACAAAAATTCTAATGAATTTGAATGTCATTAAATCCATCAATTTTGCTTCAATACTGAGAATTCACAAGCATTCTTATTGTAGCTGAAAAAAATGATTCTGATTCATCTCTAATATTTTAGTGGCATATTGACTTAGAGAATGATGAGATGAGAGAAATTATGAGACCATTCCTGGAATATCTGAAGAATGAAGCGGAAACTGAGATAAGGAGACAGAATCGCAAAACAAGCAGCTATTACGAGCAAAAAAAAAAAGTAAGACTGTTTTAATTGTGTACAGTAGATTTGAAATTGCAAATTTAATCTTCTTTCATTTTGATCAATCATTTTTTTGCTCGCATATGCAAATTTTTCCGCCCTAGCAGAAGGCTGCAGAGTTGTGATTTTTGGACGTTCACTATATAATATGAATAATAATAGTAATAACAATAATAATACTTAATAATTAATTATAAATAATTAATAATAGTGATGATAATAGTTAATTAGCCGTAAATAACAGACTATTATTACTATTATTATTCAGTGAATTTAAAATACTACTATTTTTATGAATTTATAACATTACGTCTTTCAGCAATTAAACATGAAACTTAATACGCTGATAACAAATGCTCGTATGCACAAGGTGGCAAGTACACAAACCATCATATCAGGTGAAAATATTCACTGTATTACAAAACCATGTATATCTGATGATCAAATCAGCAACGCTGTAGTTGATTCGACTTCTCAGCAGACGGTTGATCGCATCTTTGATTTGGTTATGCAGAAATTATCCATACAAAAAACTACTGAAACTGAAATGGAGGTAATACAGAACGATATGAAAAATGAAAAAGTATTATTGTAAAATTTCCAAGAAAATTTTCTAATAATCCAGAATGAATTAATTGCATTTAATGTGAGAAAATTTAAGATTCGAAAAATGAAAGATATACATCGTGAAGATTTAGAAAGTGTGAAAAAAAATTACGATGAACAGTTGAGAGTTATCGAAAGAAAGAATATACAACAAATAAATGATATCAAACATCAAATCAGACAGTTAAAGGTATGTTTCTTGTAGTAATTCCAAGATTCCAGTATTAAGAATCTTTGAAATTACTTATTGTTATAATTATAAAAAAAACAAGAATTTCTTTGAACTTTATAAACCATTCATTTTCCTCGGTTACTATGACTAACTTGAGATTCTTGAATGAATCTAAGTCTTAATCTATTTTAGAATGATCCCTAGCTGAGTATGACTAACTTGAGATTCTTGAATAAATCTAAGTCTTAATCTATTTTAGAATGAAAGAGAAAAATTGCAAAAAAAGGTGGATGATTTAGAAAAAGCAGCACAAAATAAAGAACTAGATTTTATCAAAATTGAAGCAGAAAATCGAATGCTTCATATGGAAAATCAGAGGATTAAGCAGACTTTAGCACAGCAACGAGATATTAATGAAAACCTTGAGGTTTCGTTAATCTTCAGAGCCTTAATGTAATTTTTTATCGTAAACGAAATGAACATTTATATAAACTATCCGTTCAGATCTGAAATGTCTATCTGTCATTTAATAATTTTTATAATATATTGACAATTTAATTAAATTTAACCAAAAATATCATTACCAGAAAAGTATGCTGCTTATTATTGAACTCAAAAAAAAACTGCTAAAATCTAAGCGGCACAAAAAAATTATATTGCAACAATTCCGCTTAATAGAAGAAGAACGTGATGAACTAATAGAAATTATGCGTCAACGAATAGAGCAAGTAAATTTTATTTTACGTTTATACTTTACTGAAATTATTAATGCTACAGTGAAGTGGTATTATTAATAAAGTAATATTGCAGGTAAAAAAGGCTAACGTTCTACAGGATCAAATATTGGAAGCTGAAATCAAGAAAACAGAAGGCAATACTGATGACAGATCCGAAAATGATACTCTCTTTTCTGATAGTGAATTTTCTTGAATAAAAATAAAACTTCTATCTTTGGAATGTAAATGCAGCAAAACATTCAAAGGTTAGGCCACATACATTTACTGGTAGATTAAAAGGTCAAAATATATACTTTACACACCTAAAATATGTAGCAAATGCTCCAAATCCATATTGCCTTGTTTAAAAATTAGACTAATAACAAAGACATGTACACAAAGACATCACTCATTTAAGACTGAGTCCTTGAAACCATGTTTTATCAAATCCCTCCTTTACGTAACCGTGCTTCATCCCTTACGTATATTAACCCACATCCTATACAACAATTCATCCCAACGCTGAAAAGGACAAAAGTCCTAACTACTACCAAAATCTACCCACTGCATTTATCACACAGTGGAATCAATCTCTACCTTATATTCATAATGAATGCAACGACGAAGGATGATTTGTAGGCGGTAAATGTCTCGATCTGAGTATAACCAAATATTAAAAATATAACCGCAAAGATTGAATTGAGGCCGTTGTTACATGAACTTAAATTTCGTACTACACTTTTTTTGAAACAATCTCCATTTTTTTTTGACAATATGTTTACTAAATGATGACGCAAACAGAACGGTTGAAAATATATGTAGAACAGTTTTATTTCAAATATAAAGGTTTCATTTCCAGGCACACAATACAGATGCATTTTAAATACTAAAATGCCTTGATTAGTAAAACGAGATCACTGTAAGTAAAGTTGAACAACAAAAGCAGAAGGGGAAAATTGAATAATAGAAAAAACTTAAAAAACTGAGCAAACATTCAAGTTATGATGCAAATTTTTTATAAGTAAATGCCATTTTATCTGCAGGATACTAAATTTGTTTCACTTATAAACATTAGTATTGAATATCAAAAATACAACGAAAATAACTGATAGTATTCTCATAAAGATGTCAAAACCTAATCCGATTTGCTTCGTCCAATTCAGATTTAGAACGTAACACAATTCATTGCGATATGTTTTTACTTACAAAACTATTTACAATATTTGGATCCAAATTAACATCTTTCAGGAAACGCTCCGTCAAATATCCCTCGATATCAAAGGGCACAAAATCTGAAAAATACTTATACTCAGAAAGGATGAAAATTGCATTTGAAACACGAAGAATATTTCATGCTTGCTATAATTTCAATAGATTTGCAGAAGTCTCTCATCAAATAATTAAATGAACACCTAACTACTTCAAATCTGAACTTGATAAAGACTAGACCTTCATAAAATTCCAATTAATTTAAACTTTGTGTTTCTAGTCTAATGATAAACAAGTTTGATAGGAAGCACAGCGATCTTAGTCCAAAAAAATATTTGAAAATTATATAACATTTGCAGATAAGGTGGAAGAGGAACGGTTAGCTTTTCTGCAAATCTTTGAAGAGAGTTGGGTATGGAAATTTTACCTGCGGGAATTTCTGTTTTTGGTCGATAGTGTTTAATGGTTTGATCTGGTCGACCATCGTCAGTACAGTTGAAGTTTTTAGTTACTGAAAAAATTTTAATATTATAACTGTAGAATTATAGAGGAACTCAAATTAATTGAACTAACATTACATATACCATACTGCAGCTATATAATACCAACCTTTTGCTAATACAGACACAGCTTCTATATTGAAGCGTCTTTTTGGCTCAGAAGTACGAAAATGACTTCGCTTGGAAAGAGCTGGGATTTGTGCATTTCTAAAAAATTCAAAGATATTTGGGCAAATAATGGTACGATAATAGAAATTTGAAATTTTGTTTAAGAGAAACGAAAGTACTTCAGATTAGTAAGCATATGAACTACCAAAAAATGCATGAATTCTAGTTCCAAAAAGTGCCATACTCTAGAAGTTATTTAACAGCTTAATTGATATTAGTAATGGAAACATACAAATGATTCTTGGACTGCTCGCTACTTTCAGTACCATACTGATTCAATGTTTTTTCATCTGAAAAATTAAAGTACAAAAATACATACCGATGTCATGACTGTAAAGTAGCATAAGTAAAGTTTACTAACTCTTTTTTTCTTCAATATTATATGTTATTTTCTTACTATGAAATGAGCTTTCATACATTATATTAGAAAAAAGTCGATACTTTTCATCAGAAATATAGAAACTCATACTAAAGTCATGACTACAAAGTAGTTTATGTAAAGTTTACCAACGACGCTTTCCTTATATGTTTTTTGCTATTTTCTCACTACCAAATGATATTTTATGCAGTAAATTATGAAAAAACCAACAATATTTTAATATAAGACAAATTATAAATATGAAATCTAGTAGATAGAAAGAAGGACTAGCTTATTTCAGATCTTGCTGGGACATTTCGACGACCATTGTATACGAGCGTGGGACGAGGAACCGCTGATGAATGACCAACTTTGTACATTCTAAAATTATTTAAATTATTTAACTACATCAAAGATTTAAACGACAAAAAAAACAAGAAATGTTATCTGTAGTTGCAGAAGAATGGCTTTAAATTAATCCATGAGAAGAAAATAGTAGCTGCATTAACATACGTAAGACATATTCAAGCATTCTAAGAAATTAGAATTAAGTATATTTCTGATGAAATACTAATATGATAACATTTATTTACTATTACAAGTATGAAACATCAATAAAAATCTTAAAGATATTACGATGTATTTTATGTTTGATCTTGATTTTTAACAGTATCCGATATAACCTCTTAATCTCACTATTTACAAAGAAGAAATACGAAAATACTCACAAAATTACCAAAGAACCACTGCTAATAAATTAAAACATTGCTCGTCCCTGTTTGTCACGCACAATTTTTTTACGGTCTGTTAGCAAGGGTTTATGCAATAGTTAAATCTTTCATTTTTGAGGTTAAATTTGTGTAATAGTCTTAGTAATCTATGTTTTTTTTCTCCGTTGAACCATTTTTGCATCTCATATTCAAATATTCACGTCTTCACTTATCCATTTTTCTTCTAATGTACTTATTGACTTCTGTCATTATATGTAAGATAGATTGATTATGCTTAATGCTGTTAACTTACTTAAAAGCATTCATTTCCAACTTGTAAATGATTAGATTTCGAATGTTCAAAATAATCATCCGTGATTTATAATTCTTCACTAGTAATACTCAATTGCAGAGGAAGTATGAATGAGCGAAAAAGTTAACTCAGAAATAAATATTTCATATAAGTCAAGAATCAAGCATTCAAACTTGTCGGGAGCGTGTAAGTAAGGTATGTAGTTTGAATTTTATGTGCTATTTGAACAATGCAACTTCAAGTGAACTTTTTTATGTCACAAATACTTTCAGTTATTCCAAAATAAGAGATGCTTTCTGAGCTATTTATTTATTCTGCTACAATACACTTATTGCACAATTTCTGTTTCTTTTGAATGTGTATTTGCCATTTAGGCCGAAGCAAAATTGTTTGCGTTTTATTCTAGAAATTTTGTTCCAGGTAAAAGTTTCAAATGGGCCGAGATTGGCTTTTTACAGAAGAACAACTTGTAAATACACCATCTAGAAAAGATGGAGTAGATGGAGCTGAAGAAGGCAAATTACGCAGAGAAGGAGTCAAACTTATTGTGGAGATTGGCGGTGGTTTAAAATTGTAATTTCTAAATTTAAAGTTACGATGTGCTAATCAAATACCAAAGAACATACGTTTTGCTTGCTATTAAAAGGACTGATGCAGAAAGTAAATTCACTTTATCAGTGAAAGTAATTACAAACTTTGCATTATTATTTTCTGTCAGTGGAAATATGTTTTCTAATTTTCTGTAAAATGGAAAAAAGTTTTCAATTTTAGACAGCCAAATCCAACGTTGGCAACAGCAGCTGTATATTTTCATCGTTTTTATATGTTTCATTCCTTCAAAGAATTCCAGAAACATGTATGTTCGATTTTTTCTTGATCTAAATTTAATGGAGATTTATAGTTTGATTTTTCCATTTGAGAAATTTTCAATTTATAATTCTCTGACACGTATTACGTCTTTGAAACTAATAAATGATATCTTGTTAATAACTGGAGGTAGAATATTTGTTTCAGCTGACAGCTCTGGGTTGTTTATTTTTGGCTGGCAAGGTCGAGGAAACGCCAAAAAAGTGTAAAGATATTGTGCTGATTGCGAAAGAAAAATATCCAGATCTGTATAATATGAAAAATGCAATTGTAAGTCCTTCGTTGTTATGTGTGTAAAAACGGGCATTATTTGTGTTAAAAGTGTCTTTTTCTGGTAATAATTTCTGAATAAAATAGACTTTAATATAACTTGCTTTTATTTCATTTCAGGAGGAAGTAATGGGTATTGAGCGCGTTCTACTGCAAACCATCAAATTCGATCTTCACGTTGATCATCCATATACATTTCTTCTGCAGTACCAAAAAGTCGGAAATAGTGTAGTTCATCGGTCTTACACGTAGTTTATCAATAAACATCTGTACTAGTCGCATGAGAAAATATATTTCAATTTCTTTTTCAAAACCTGTTTTTTATTCTGAAATAGCTGGAATTTTCAGGTGTTTAAACTAGATCGGGAGAAGAAGCAAATGATTCTACAGAATGCTTGGACATTTGTCAATGATTCAATATCAACAACTTTGTGTCTTGTATGGGAACCGGAAGTTAGCAATCTCTCTTTATTATTTCCTTTTAATTAAAATTAACTTTTTAAAAGACACAACAGTATGTTCACTTTAAAATCTTGAATATAATAAATTTCTGCCAGACACATCAGATTAACTTCATATTGTTAGGTAGTTTTCTGCAATTAATGTAATGTGTTCAAGTATTTGTTATTTAATTATTCTGCTTTGACTACTTGTGAAAGGTTCTTCTTCAAGGTAATTGCTATTTCCCTGATTTATATGGCTTTGAAAATGACGAAATTAGATAACTGTGATTGGGTTGATCGACAACCTGGAGAGCAATGGTGGGATCAATTTGTTGCGAATTTGACGTCCGACATGATGGAGGATGTTAGTTCGTTATATACTCATTTTCTTTCAACTGGATTCAGTTGCAGTTTTTTCTCTCTTACTTAATTTATTTTTATTAATTTGATATCTTCTTTAACCATTTCAGTGCAAAATTCGGATACTTTTATACCTTTCTTTTAAGACTCCAAATACATTTTTTCTTAGCTTGCAAGCACATCTTTCTAATTTCATTTGAATCTGTGAAATTAAGTTTACAGAAGTATTTGGAGTGCCATTCACACTCTGTCATGTATTTCTTCACTTATCAATTATATTCTTTCATCATCACTTGCATATATTCACAGTATCTGTTTCAGGTTTGTCACAAAGTGCTCGATTACTACACTATCACAAGGACGGAAAGTCGATAATATTCAATAAATCACTAAGAATTTTTTGCTGATCAAGACAGCTTTTCGAAATGATTCACGTGGTTATCCATATCTCCTTACATAATGCTATTATTAGCTTGCGTGTGTCTAGGAAATGGTCATGTATTACAGGTTCTGTGTTTATTTTTTGTTTTTCAACTACCAGTGTATTATTTCTATGTGAAGTTGCTATGTTTGATGTAAATAATAATAGCAATTCGTTTTATTTCGATGTCTCACTGCAGAGGCAACGTAGGATACAGAAGAGCGACAATTTAGCACTTGTTTTTATTACGTCTACAGACATCACAGAATTGTTTTATGACTCGTCAGCAAAATATTGATGTTATTACAGTCTTATTTTCGTGATAATAAAGTGACATTAATATTTTTCATTCGTAACGGGAAATATGTTATTGAAATAATTTTTTATAAACAAAAAGTATGTGCTTATTATAGGAAAGCATGGAGTATGAATATCAGAGACAAATTTTATTGAATGATCCCGACTAACAAAAAAAATAAGGAGCTTTGTTTTTTATCTCTGCTGATATGACAGTGATCACTTGTCTCTATGTGAAATTTTTATGCTATGTTCAATGAGTATTGTTTTACTGTATTATATTCATAAATTATAAAATACTCGACATGTCATACTGTAAATCGAACCATAATAAAATTAGTGAGAAAAGTATGAAGAAAATGACTACATTTGCAGTGTATGCAAATGTAGTCAGATTACGAGAGCCTGAACAGAATATCCAAACACCTGTGGCTAGTATCACGCATGCCCATCCTGCCAGCCATTTCATCGATACATATCGGAAGTATTCATCCTATGGTTACATTTTATTCGTTAGGAAATATTTAAATTGGTACGAGCCCAGTTTTGAAAATTCTCGGGAACAAATTTCATCTGATTTTAATCAAAAAAACGATGAGAAATCTTTGTTACTGTAGAACGAAATAGTCATTTTTTAAGGCTCACAATTTTCCCACGTTTTTTATATCGCTTCATAGAGCATTCTCTGTTTTTTAGTGGAGTTTTTACGCGATCAGGTAGCGTGATCAGTGCTTCTTTGGCTTGGTCCCATGATCCTGGACCATCAAGTCGGTAAATGTATGGAGCGTTGGCACTGATCAATAAACGGAGGAAAAAACTTGGCTCGGTAAAAATGTACTAGAAATTTGGCATTTAATGATGATTACAGGTACTTTTAAATGATGTATTTTACGTGGATATTTTGTTTTTGATGTTGGAAAACTTCAATTTTTACCTTTTTCAAATTAGGCTTACAACCTATTAGTTCAGCTATTTCGTCCATATATTTGATATAGTCCACTTGGATAGTGTGTTTCAAGCTCTTGAAGTATCTGTTAATGAAATTATTTTGAAAGTTTTGCTAAAGAGAATACATCTCATAAATTCAATATGCTCTTGTTTATTAGAATAAGCATATTTTATCATTTTATTACTTTGAAAACTTAGCAATAACTTTCAAATTAACACCATGGTGATGGCAGCTGCTTATGTACAGTAAAAGAAGTATCAAGTTTTTTAACCTTCTTTTAATCTGAGCTTGCTTAAGCTCAATATCATTCATCATGTCGGAATAGAAGGGTAGTCGAACTTGACCACTAAATACTGCAACAGCCCATCTTGATTGCATTTCAGATATTGGAAAAATACTTCCAATTGGTTGAATCAAGCCAATTACTGCTAAAGTTGGATGATTCAATGGAAAAACGTATTTGTATAATGTCACTTCATGTTCCTGGAAAAGCGCAATGACATCTAAATGCAAACTACTTGTGAGACATGCTATGCAATCGAATTTTCTCCATGAAAAGATACATCAAAATTAATGAAACGATTGGCAAAATAGGTAACAAGAATATCACATATATTTTTAAACTTTACAACGTTTTCGTCAAAGTTTATAGTTCACTGCAGATTTACTTTTCACTAATGTTAATTCAATCAAATTTCCAGTAATAATTCGTACTTCGTTTCATTACTATTTGAACCATTAAGTTAGGTAAAGATTGTAATAAACAAATTTTAATGTTGCAAACTGTATTTCGATTAGTTTTGTATCTAAAGATTAGTTCTATTTAAAAATGCTTGCTGCTTACTTTAATTGCATGCAGTATAAAAGATGTTTATTAAGTTACCTTGATAGGTATAATAGATTCAGGGTTTAAAAATGGAAAACTAAATGTATATCCAGTTGCAAAAATGATTATATCAGCTGGAAAGCAACGTCCTCCTTCAACTTGAACACTTCTTTCTGAGATACATTTCACGTCTTCCTAAATGTATTTATCATAATAAACATAACTTCTAACATTTTGAAGTTATGTTTGAAGTTAACATTACTGTGATAATGATACGTCCGCTACAAAGAAGATTAGGCAGATCATCATTGATAGTTGGGTGTTGTTGCAAAAAGCGATGATTTGGACGAAGTCCATAAAGGTCATGATCTAGCCGTAACTGAAATATTGACCACTATTGTTCAAATTAAAATTCAAAATTTTAAAATCACACTTTTTCGCAGTATATGAAAACTTGTAGTTGAGAACGATAAACAGACTTAGAGATGACATCTTACTTTCCATTACTTTCAGATTTTCATTTCCATCTGTAATTCATTTTTCTAGCAAACTTTGCTTGAAATATCTATTAACAAAGGAACAATATTGCAAAAGCTCAACAAAAATATAACTTTGATATTAACTTTCATTAGTCTTAAAAAGATTGAAATTAATAAAACCTGTAGACGATGTTCCATGAAATCGTTAGCAACTGTCCATGGTAACTTATCTATCAAATAGTCATACATTCGAGTCATCACGGTCAAATCATTAGGAATGCCTCCTTTACTTACGCGATTAAATATCCATGCACCTCTTCGGGTAGATACTGTTACCTTAATAAAGAAATTCGCGCAGTTACTTTTGTTAGCTAACTTGTGATTCTCACTTATGGTAAATTATTAGTCTTTTTTCACTAAAAACTTTACCAATATTCATTCAAGTTGTGATTCATAGAGTAAGCTTGTTCTTTTGATACTTTGAAGTATGAGCCTATCCTCAGTATCTGAATTCATAAATGACGTAGGTATAATGTAGTAACAAACAAACTATGATTATTAAAATATAAGTTTCGTTTTTAAAAAGCAAATGATATAAACCGAATTTGCCACGCCCGATAGCTCAGATGCGATGTCTAGAGCCGAATTACCAATTCCAACAATAAAGATATCTTTTCCTTCAAATCCTTGATAGTCACGGTATTGATGAGCATGCAGAATTCGTCCTTGGAATTCTTGCATTCCTAAATAAAAATTTTACTCAGAGTTAGACCCAGAATACAGGTTGAAATCAAGAAAAAAGACAAGAGAGTAATTATTTGAAAGTATTTATAAGAAACACCAGATATTTATAAGAAATACCAGAAAAATTACCAGATATTTCGGGATATAGAGGTATGCTGTGATGGCCATTACAAATCATAACAAAATCAAACAATTCTTTGTTACCATTATCAGTTAGTACTTCCCACGATTTTTCAACTTGAGTAACCTAACATTTTAATTTGTTTCAATTCTCAAAGCTTCAATATATTCAAATTTGTTGGAATAATTCATTTAAATTAAAATTAATTTTAATTTTAATTTAGATTAATTTGTAAAAAAATTTGAGTGATAATTTATTTTGATTTCTTTCTAACTATTTCTATCAATTATTTTATCTTTATTTAGGTAATTTTGAAAATTCAAAAATAGATTATCAGCAATACCTGTAAATCCAATTTTTCAATTAGGACCTAGAAACAATTTTTGAATATGGACTAAGTGCAGATCAAATGCAGGATCAAAGACTGTAAGCTAACAAATATGTGCGAAATCATATGTATAAAAAATCACTACAAATTGTAGACTAGATAAATATAGATGCTATTTTTTGTTTAATTTAAGGAATAAAGTGAAGATATGAATTATAAAGTTGTAATTTTTTTAAAAGTCATCTGCAATATTCAGTTCTGAAACTTTGTTTTACTTTTTTGATACAAGTAAAAATACCTGAATTACTGTAGTGTTGAAACGAATGTATTCGTATAGATTATTTACTCTTGCGTAATCTCTTAAATATTCTAAGACTTTTGAATGATGCATAAAGTTACAAAAATTAGCAGGTGGTGGAAAATCAGAATAAGCAGTCATTTCTTTCGATGTATTCATCACTGTTGATTTCATTACAGTACCACCTTCCTAAAATTTCCAAAGATAATTTAAGAAATAAAAAATTATTATTGTGATTCTATTATTATCAAAGTACCAGCTTTGAAAAAAGGATTTTATAGCTAATTTCAGAGGTTCAAATACAAAAATAAGCATTAAACTTGATTGAAATCGTTGATCTCAGTGAGAAATGGCTATAACAATGTTAACAATTAAAAAAAGTAAATTCATTTGTGGAAATCATACTCGATATCAAGCTCATCGTCGAAACAGTAGAGCGAAATTATTTACAAAAATGCTGAAATCAGATAAAAACAGGATAGAATTTGAACTTTCAACCTTTAATTGATTGATTTAGAGCGTTAAATTTTCAGAAATCTTTACTTACATTTAAATCTGGTCGATAGTTCCATATGCCTCCAATATCATTTGTGCGTTCGAGAGCTACTACATCCAGTCCACCTGCGCGACATTCCTTGATAGCTGGTAAGCCACTTGCGCCTGCGCCTATTACGCAAACTCTCATCAAGTTGACGTCAATGTCCGTGTGTAAATACTGTCCTAGGAAATGACCAAATGGAATCACTTCATATGGCAGTCACAGCATTTATTATTTGTTCGTTGAATTCAATAGATTTGGGACAAATATAATCTTGATTCTCCGCCTTTCCTTGTAATCTATTATATAAATGAATTCCAACATGAAGGTTACTAGGTCGTGCAGTAATCTTAGAATGCATAACTTGTCATTTGGGATAAAGTGCTGATTTAATACATCAACGAACAAATGACTGATAAAGATAGACTCGATATCATCAAAACCTTACTCCACATCTTTGATTTCTACTACAACATAATGTCCTGCATCTTCTGTTTCTTCAAAATAATATTTCAAATTGTTTCAGTCCTAAACCATACTCATTCACTCCAAATCTGATAACATACACAACAATGTTCCAAGTTACAATGTACTTCCGTACCGCACTAGAATATCCATGTTATAACTCCCCACACATCATTGTTGTACGTTTTAGTTGTGAGAATAAATTTTATAATTATATTCTGTACAAAAGTGTGCTGCAAGTGATGGAGAGAATTTTATCAGAAATCTTTCGCAGATCCAAACACAATATGTGCTTCTTAAGTATGAGAATCAAAAATTATGGGTAAAGTTAAATGAAAATAATGAGCGCTAAGAAATAAGTATATCTGAATTGAAATACTGCAATAGTATATTATACAAAAACAAAATGTACAGAAAGCATGATAATAATGTAATCACATGACTCCATGCTGGTTCCACACTACGAAATTTAGTCCGATTGCGTGATTTTTTACATTCAATAACGATATCTGATCCAAAATGAGAGAGGAATGTTTGCTACATCATATTTGTAGGCAGTTTTCATCAACTCCAAATGCAGCGTTGGTAAGATTTGAGTTAAATTTCCAAAATTGAAAGAATACGTTGGAGATGATGATGGTCTATCGTTTTTTATCAGTCCACCTGAATGAAGAAGTAAACATCAAAGTCATTTTCTAATAACAATCTTTAACTCAAAACCAAATTTAAGATAGCTGTATTTCAGAAAACTGCAAATGGTCTTTTTTTTTTCTAAAAGTGAACTAGTGCGACTTGTGAAATTTTAAATGAATTCTCTAAATATTTTTTCTAAAGTAAAATTTTAGTCGCAATTAAAGAAGTTCAAACATCGTGAAAAGTTAAATAAAAGGAGCGAATTTCCAATCTATTGAAAGAAAGAAACTGAAACTAACGTTGCATGTTTGATAAGATTACAATTTGTGAGGTTACAAATAATGCTCCAACTGCTACCGTATAAATAGCACTAAAAACGGCAAGCGAAATCAAAAACGGCTTGACGAAAACCACTATAAAATTCAGCTTCGATCCCAGTATAGCTATTTCATTATACGTACAAAATCCACGCTTTGAAAAACTGTCCCTTGCAATCCAAACTTCAACATCTCGCAGCACGCAAGAAAACTCTTCATGACTTACATTTGCATTCCACTGCTAGAAATAATAATATGCTTTTTCACCATTGGAAAATCGTAAAATATAGAGCAAAGCCTCAAAAGAAACACACCATGGCATTAAGCAGCTGCAGTTCTATTTTATTTATTTCTTTTATGGAAGTGCTCGCACATGCTGCCCATTCATTAGTATAAATAAATTCTTTCTCACCGTAGTCCTAAAACATAACTGAGATAAGTGAAAAGAAAACAACATTCTATGAGAAGGAATGGATATCTGGCAAATGGTGATTTTTGAATTTTGTGCTTGGTTCAACACAGAAATCAAGTCTTTTTTGAAGATGAAAGAAAAATAATAACAAAAGAAGAGTTAATAACAATAAAAAAGTGATAGCTTACATGAAGATATTTATTAGCAATTATGAGTGCTGAAAGATACATCTCATTAGGGTCAGTTGCTTCAAAAAACTTCTTTCCAACAGCCCTCATACGATCAAGGTATACCATCGCCACTAAAAATGTGCAAGCATCCACACAACCACCACTAAAAATACGAACTTTACATACAAAAAGAAACTATGAGAATCAAATTTATAAAAGATTCTGAAATAAATCTATATTTGCCTCAACTTTGATCAAATGAAGAAATTAGAATTCTTTAATAAAATTAGAGTTTACTACTACTTCCTAGGTCACAAATTTATAGAGAAGGTATTAGATTTTACACATCTGAATCATATATTATATATTTCGAATTCAATTATAATTCCAAGAATATTGCAGAATGAAGAATGAATAATCACCGTGTTAACGAGGTTGCATAATCCAAATTCATATAATCATATGGACAATGCTTATTGAAATAATCTGCAGCCAGTTCTAAAATAAAATATTCACGATGTAACTTATACCAATTTCAACATTTGGATTACTGAAGCAAAAAAAAGTAATACACATTTGCTTGCATGCATTATGATTTTATGTTAAAAAAATGATTTATAAGTCAAAGTTCGAAATTCTAAAATAAGGTGACAAAAATCAAATAAATAAATAAATGGCTGAAATTTAAAACTTTTTCCGAATATAAGTGCAAATTTAGACTTGCATAATATGCCAAGCTAATATCTAATGGTCAAATTATTAACGAAATCGTGAGAAATACGGATATTAAACTGCTCATTTGCCTGCCTCAATTTTGGTGGAACGAGAAAACGAAAATTAAATAGTACTTTATAAATCATAGACTTAACAAAGACAATACAAAATATAATGAATATTTTGATGAACTTTCACCTTTTCATTGCAACTTTAATAAGTTAACCTGACCTGAAAGTGGTAATGGTAATGACTTCATCCGTTCATTGCCACAGTACAATGTCCGTCGCAGACGTCGTTGCAAATGTTTATATGATAAAGATGTAGGTGACATTTTATCTGCAAATAGAATAATTTGACAAAAACTGAAATTCCACAAAGTTTATTTATGAAAGTTTTCGTATAAAATGTAAACAAAAATTTTATTAATTAGAAGAAAACAAAAATTTAATTCAAACATTTTTGTATATAAATATAACAATTACAGACCGCCCTCTCTTCTAAATTATTGAAATTAGAAAGACAGTTCGCTATAAATTTTTTTGTATTTATAAAGCACGAAAACAAATCAATCATTTCATGAAAAGAATAATTATCAACAAGATACAAAAAACACCAATACTGAATGAAACACGAAATTCTAACAAATTTATCTCCGCCACTTTTGTGCTGCAGTAAACGACTTTTATTATTCAAACTAGCGCTTTTATGTGTATTACTAATACGGTATGCGTGCGTGTCGCGTAGCGGACTGAGTATCTTAAAATTTCAATGCGAGCGGCACAATGCGCAAATGTATGTCATGAGCCGATGCGCAAGTAATGCCAGTGATTATTCAAGGTCGAGGTTATCGCGTTATTGTAGCAGGTCACTAGTAGATTATGCATGATTATTGGGATTTGGTTTTGTTACAGTTATTTTTATATGATAAATCTTTTTTCGTTACAAATTTTGCACATGCAAATTAAGTTTTAAAAAATCGCGAAAGGTATATTTTTTGAGTAGCAATCAATTCAATTATATTCTTTTTTGTGTCAAAGGCTATGCAAATATTGCGTGCAAAAGTGAAGGGTTATTCAAATAGGCAGTTTATTGATCGAAAAAGGTTGCAAAAGTGCAAAGGTTAGTTGTGAGTGTGTGTTTGTGTGTGCGTAAATATAATGTAATAGCCTAAATATTAAGTAGCATGTTTAACTTTTCAAGCTTGTTTACGTTGTCATGATAAGGCAAAAATTTTTCACTAAACATAATTTCTTGATTTTTTTTTAACCTTTTGTGGTTATTACCTGCTAAAAATAATCTTTTAATCTCATGAACTACGCAAAAAATAAAGGTTAAAAGGCGTTTATTTGAGTGTTAAGCAGCTGTTAATGTTGTGAGTGTTCAGAAATTAACATTATCGATTGCTTATGTAGCGAAATAGCAAGAGTTTTGTTACAGTTTTGCTACGTTCTTTACATTTAAGAAAAATAAACTCATCAATCACAAGTTAATTTTGCAATATTTTGATCGATCGATAAATTTTATTTTCTCTGTCATCAACTATCTAATCATTATTTTTCTCTTTCTCTTATCTCTGCATTGCTAGTTACACTCTCTCATGCTGTAGTCTCTATTTTAGTTAATATTTTTTTTCGTTATAACACAGAATAACAGTCTGATTCTCGATAAAATTATTTTTTGCGTGTTACCTCCTGTGTGCTTGCTCATACACACTTATTTCTGTTATCACTTGTAGGCATCTTAATTGTGTTGTGTTATCGGTCTTGTTTCCATCTGTAGCACTTATAATTCATTCTTTCTGTAGTAGTACTTTTTCATATGATTGCTTTTTATAGAAGCCAGACATGCTATGATTACTTCATTAATTCTGACACTATGGACCTCTTACATTTCAACTTGATCACGGGTATCAAGCTAATCAAATTATTTTTGCCAGCCTTTTTCGCACTCACTTAGTATCTTTAGTTTTGTATATAGTTTTTATTGCTATTAATTTTTCGTCACCTTCGCATGATAAGCATAATAAGATAAAGGACAAAGTTATTTGCTAACTTCAAGTCATTATTGTGAAAAACTGTGCTTGAGATTTTTGTATCATGCACGCTTTTTCACTCATTCACAAGTTTTTCTTTTATTTGTTTTTCTCATAGCATATCGTAGAGATTGAAGTCGCATGTATGTTTTTTTATTGTTTATTTGCTTACCATTATCTATGTTAATCATATGATACTTTAATTGGCTCTCAATTTTGACTATTAATTTTTTGGAAATAATGTTTTCCTACCTGTCATTTCTCATAATGACTAAATGATGGTTGTGAAAGCGTATCGATTTCATGCTTATTTATGTGATGAAAAAGCTCACTCTTGTTATAACGGTATCGAAAAGCATTATAGACTCAAAGGTTGAATAGTATTTTTAGTATTTTATTCAAGATATGTGCTAGATTTTATACATATTTTTGTTGCTTTTTATCATATTGCATATTATATAGTCTCACGTAATTTCAAAAAATGCTGATAACTAATTAGTGTTTATTTCTCAGTTTCCATTTATTCACAGTTCCTTTCCTGTAAATTAGGGAATCTGGATTATTTTTTACTCGTGTCACTAGTATCGTTGAAACATAAAATATTACTTTCTGAAATATGTGACTTTTCATTGAGAAATGGGATAAATAATAAGTGAATATGGATTTTTAAGATGTATAGAACTTCACTAGTAACGTCGTTTATATCGTTGTAAAAATTTATATTCTTTTAATTGTAAGTTTTTTTAGCAAGGTGAGTCTGATTGCGAGTGAATAATCGATTGTAGGAGATAGAGTTTAATATTGTCAATGAACACAGAACAGTCAGGAAGTTTCTCAGGCAACGGTAAAAAATTGGTGATTTGATATCATGCTAAAGAGATAATATATCTTGTCATTGTTGGTTGGATTAGTATTTAAAGATCAACTAATTTGTTTCAGTTGAGTTACGTCTGTTTAATGACTACAAAGATCTGTCTTAGGGAATCCAAGATCAGTTGATGTAATAACGAATGGTGAAAAAGCCATGGAGGGACAAAAGCAGAAGCAGGAATTGGTACAAGAGTCAGAGCATGGAAATAGTGAGCACGAAGATAATCTTCGCGAGGTTAATGAATATACATTTTATAAATTATTGATTATGATTTCGTGGCAAGTTTTGGCGATCTTATTTGAAGTAGTCCATTCGAAATACTAAGATTTGTATCATAATTTATCACAGATTTTTTCAAAAACTAAGCAAATGGGACTTTAAAAGTGTGTGGTAATTTGAACAAAGATTTGGAATGTCAGTAAATTGGCATTCGATTCCTTTTACAGTATTGTCGCGATCGGTTTAAACATGAGTGATGCAAATTATGTGTCATGCTAGTGTAGAGTATCCAGAGCTGGTCATCAAGATCATTTAGTATATAGTTTTATGAAATGAAAGCATATTATGAATATTTATAGTTGAAAGATGCATCAAGTGAAAATACTAGCGAGGCACTCGAATCAGAAAAACATGATAGTGTTGCTGCTTCAGCGGGTTCATCTCCTCCACCAGTAATTTTTATCTATTTACTGTAACTAGTATGTATCACAGTTTAAAGGCGTTTGTGTCAGAACCATTCATATCTTTGTGCTGCTTATTTTTGCTGGTATTTTTTTGTTGAGACTATCGGAGTGATTTATTATACTACTGGAGTATCAGCATATGTTGGACTTATTTTAAATTATAGAAATTGCTTATTTTTTCAAACATAGATTTTATTCATGTTTTGTTTAGTGATTCGTTGAATTTTAACACTAGAATTAAGCTTTGTTTTGAGGTGCTTTGAAACAACTTTCATTGTAGAGTAGTGCTGCCCCTGACGAACTTCATTTGGATACGGATACCAAAAGTAATTCAGAAGCTGATAATAAAGAATCGGATGAGGCTAAAATGGATTCTAGCAACGAGGCTGCTGATTCTAAAGAAGGTAGTAAAAATTATGGTGATGATGATGAAGATGGGGATGATGGGGATGACGATGATGGCGAAGATGACGATGATAATGACAAAACAGATGCAGACGAAACAGAAGGCGAAATGGAAAAAAAGGAAGATGGTGATATTTCAGATAAGGCAGATGATAAGACTACAGGTGTTAACGATATAAAGGAAGAAGTAAGTAGTTGGTCTAAAATCAGTTGTTAAGGATTATTAATGTGAAAAAGCAAATTAAAAACCGTATTTCGAATTGAGATAGTATCTTTGTAATCTACCATATTTCAGGGAAATGCAAAACGTGTTTTGCCGAAATGGATGGTTCAGGATGCTGATGCACCTCCAAGTCCGAAAGATGGGATGGATGAAGATGATGCTACTGTAACAGTCATTGAGAATAAGCCAATTGGCCATGTTCGTGGACGAGGTCGTGGTAGGAGAGGTCGTGAAGTTACACGCGCGGTGGCCAAGCCTTATAATGTACTGCATACAGTAATTTATAGAAACTGGAGCTTTTGAGATGTCATCTTGAGTATTTAATCTGCAAGTGGTAAATTGTAACTCTTACTTAATATTCATATCCAGTTGTGGAAGCTTTGATCATAAGTTTTAGGAAGTTAATGTGGAGCAGTCAGAATCGCTTTCAACTGGTCGTCCCCGTCGCTCGACTCGTTCTAATGTTGATTATGCTCATCCTGATGTTGCAACTGTTGTAGCTGAGCAAGAAGATCTAGAAAATGAAGTATGTTGTGACATTTTAAGGTTTATTTTATAAGCATGTAGCAAGTATAAGGCAGTGTTTTGTGATAGGATAGAATTTTCGTCAATGAAGGAAGTAAGAACTGACCTGGACTAGTCAAGGTGATGATCATATTATAATTTGGTACGTTTTATCAAGCCTTGTGCTACTTCTCTTGTTCCAGATTTGCTTTTATGATTTCAGCTTCAGCAGAAAGTCAATCGAGGTCGCGGCAGGGGCCGTGGTCGTGGTCGTGGTGGACGCACTTCTGGTCGTAAACGAGCAACTGCTGGGAGTGATGATGGAGAAGACAGTGGTTCCGAATATGGTACACCCAAAAAACAAAAACGGACAGGAAATAGCGGTTCTCGTGGACGAGGGCGGGGTCGTGGTCGTGGAAGACCGCCAGCCCGTGGTTTGCCTTTTATTTGCTATGTCTGAAACTTTTTTTCAGATAGTGTGAGACTTTGAAAACTATTTTAGCCTCTCTCAGTGTTACTAGATGTTAGAAAATGATTGGTAATGTTTCTTGTAACTTGATTTATGACGTTTTTTTTTCTAGGGAAAAAAAGTAGTAAAGAGGATAGTGATAATGATGATGAAGAGATGGATTTCTCAGATGACGCAGTTGGCTCAGTTGGTTCTGGTGATGATTCTTACAAGCCGGCACCTTCTAAACGGCGTGCGGCTGCTATTGAAGCTAACTCTCCTAGAATCCCCCCTAAAAAACGCGGTCGTGCTGCGACAACTAAAGCACTTTAAATGTTGTAAGAGTTTTCAGGAACTGGAGTTTTTGTTTTTTAAATATTTTTTCCTTATTTGTCATTTGTCATGAATGTACAAGACCAGGAAATTTAACTTTTATTGTTTTTCTTCTGAAAATTCCGGAGAAAGCAGATTCTACATTATTTTAAACTTCGTTTTGTTGAAAACTTAAATATCAGGGTGATATTAAGTAATGCTGTTCGTAAAAGCTTACAGAGTATACACGTTTTTAAGTCGATGGAAGAAAATATTGATAATAGAGAAGTTTTGTTTCTGTTGTACTTCTCACATTGTTCTGCAGTTTTAGAACTGTTTTGTCCGTCATAATTTCATGCTTGCATCTTTAGTTAGGTTACACGGATTTCAAGGATACAGTTCCAAAAGATAAATGTTAGAGAAACAAAAGTTCTATGACAATTAAGGTTTAATGAGATAATTGTTTTTATATTTAATACTGATTGAAATTGAAGAGAAGTTGATATTATTAGTGCTACTATTTGGAAGTTGCGTGAATTTATTGAATTTTATCAGACTTGTTTTATTGTTCATTCTCATGAGTTCCAATTGTTTTTATTTTCTATGGTAATTGAAAAAGTGCGGAACATTTTCTATATTTTGAAAATCTAAGAGATGAGCTCCATAGCTTAAATTGGTGATGTTTCATTGACCTAAGTCTCTTATTGTGTTTAAAGAATTGGATACTTGTGGATTGCAGTATCAGTGCTACCTGCATGCATGTTAGATAGTGCTCGTTATTGAATATGATGGTAAGATTTTCTTGAATTTTATTGCTTGACTTTTTATTCTCAACAAAGTGCCGTAATACATCTTTGATTCCACATGTTAGCAGAAACTATTTAGTCCGAAAAAAGTGAGTAATGAAAATTATTTCTGGATGGGTTAGTATATGTGTATGGTATGTATCGCTTGTTTTTGGAAAACAGTCTTCTCAGTAAAATTATGAAATTTTTTTTTCCATCCAATAAAGTATATTCAGTACGCATTGTTTAATGAGAAAGTTTGAGGTGTTTATATTTTTCTTGGGTAGCATGTTTGGTTTCTGATAACTCCGTGGTATTCATATGTTTGTATTTAAAAATATGTAAAACACTCATGCAAATTTTGCAGGATAGAGTACTAACACGGTGCGCACATATTTTATGGGTAGCACTATACTCTCTCTGCATAAGTTAGGTCCTTAATTTCGGTGCATTTATAGTTTTTCTTGATTCTAGTCCAGATGCACTAACGTGTTCACTGGTATGGTAATATTTACTGAGTTGATGTGGAGAAATTTATCACTTAACGTGAAATTCTTATTATTATTTGGGAATAAAAAGTTGAGAATATCGTAAAGGTGATGGTGTGTCCTGACAACAGGCGGAATATTTCTAGCTTATATGCCAGTTCTTGACGATTTTTACCATCAAATTCCCTTTTTCGAATGTTTGTGTCTACCTCGATGTGGAAAACAGTTGTAATTTGAGTGGTATGTGCATATTTGTCTGTTTTACTCATGTCTTCCTGTTAGTCTTTTTTACTAGGCACCTTTTCCTGTCTTCTCTATATTTAGGATAAATGCTGTAGAATTTCCTCTTGTACTGATTTGGATACTCTGAAAAGTAATAACCTTGATGTATATAAAGTATCAGTGATAATTGTTATATCTTTTAAATGCTCTTTGATAAAATAAATTGTTGAATATGTGTTAGCTGGTTTCAACTTCTCTTCTTCCTCACAATTTTATTGCTGTTTGCTTTAGCTCGTAAATTAATTGCGCTGGGTAAAGAGAATCAATATTTATCCAATAGTTTCTTTTCCAGATATTGTATTGAAAACGAGGCGATTTGTGCAATCGTTTTAGACAGTACTTGTATTCATGTTACCTTTGTGAATTTTACTCCCTATTATTATTTTGTTGCACTAAATATTCCCTTTTATTCATTGAATTGTTCGATCGACGAATGTAAATTATAAGCCAGTTTGTATTTTCTTGTTTCATGCTGTTCTAAGGAGCGCGATATATTCTTTTAAATTGTTTATCGTTTTGAACAGGCAAGGCTTATACTTTGCTATACATCTCTGCATTTGATTTCATTGTCTATTGGCAGGAAACTGCATAAAAAATGAATGCAAGTAATTTAATAAATATGCAGTGCAAGATTTGAGGAATTAGAAGAAAGTTTCCGGATTAGGCGTAATAGGTACAGATGAACATTGGTTTTCGCATGTCAATATGTTGAACTAGTGGCTAGATCTCTTTCAATTCCACAAATTAGGGAGTTGGTTACATCAGTATTATGTACTGATGCTAGAGCAGCAAATATGGAGTAGGGTTTCGTGAATCAGGAATGTTGAAGACTGCATTATTTGCTGTGTTATTAGTGAGTTGGGTTGGTAATACATCAGACCAACTAATCCCTACATTTGAGAAAGTAGTGGATGCATGTGGAAGGGTCTTCTGTCAAAAGAATTTCTGGATACTTTAGATCTGCACATATCCATTTCTCGCTCAATACTAATGATAGTCTTGAGAGCACGTCCCCATTTTTCTACCCTTAGTGAGTGCTTCTTTTAATGATTATGTACATCTGAAAGTATAAGAATCTGGAAATTTGTTCTACAGTTATTTTATTCAGTGAAGTCCGTGGTTGCCAGGTGTGCATTTGGTGTTACCTTATTTTTCTTGCATTTTGTTTGAGTTATATCAAGCTTGACGTTGGATTGGTATTTAATTTAGGCAGTTATTTTCGTGCTGACAGTATTTATTTTTTCAGCGTGAGCACACTATTTTTCATCGACATGTAGGAAGATATTCGCTACTTTCACTAAATAACTATTTAATACATAAAGGAGTGACTGGTTGAAGTGTGTGGTTCAGTTTCCATTTGCTGAGTTATTCTTAACTACTTGATTGATTTGCTTTTAGGTGAAGTGCGATTTGCATAAGTAACTAGGCAGAGTCGCTGGTTACTGAGGTGTGTAAGTTGTTATTATTAGTTTGGTCAGGAATTTTCAACAAAATACGATGACAACTGCTTGGCAGGTTTGTATTTACTTTTTTGTAATTACTCAAGTGTCTGGTTTTAAAAGAAATGTAAATATTTTACTAGCATTCATAGCATTCAAGTATTTGTTATATTTCTTTTACGAGTTTAAAAATTTACGCCAAATTTGCTCTTACTAATGTGAATTACGTAAAGTGTGACACTGCGAATGAGTGATCCTTTTGTAGAAAGTAAAGTAGGCATGACAAAGAATTTTTGGAGTCAATAAAAATCTTATCATTTTATGAGGACAACGTTGAAGTAGTGATTAACTACATTTATAGCTAAACTAACATTGCGTAAAAATACTTTTTAAGTCTTTTTTTATCGCAGAAGAATGGTTAAAAATTTTATTAGATAATAAATTTTTTGCACTAAAGTTAAGAAAATATAGCAAAAATTTTATTTTGTATTCATTATTCCAACTTTACAACAAGCCATTTGGAAGTAGTGAGAAAGAAGTTTATTCTCTGAAATTGCCGAATATTATTTATTAAAAAAAAATTCATTTTCTCTCTTGATAGGTGATAATTAAGATGTATTGAGCTCAAATATTAATCATCACTTAGAAGTAGTTCTATTAAGCATACGCCATGTATTCAAAAGATTTTTTACTAGCAGATTTAAAATTATACGTCAGTAATAAATATTTCATTACTTTATTCTGTTTTAATAAAAGTAATGTGTATTCTAACATTTACACTTATGTCATTGGTTTCGAGGATGTTTTCTATTCGCTTGCATGTTTCAAAATGTCTATTGATAATTGTTATTGGTTTTTAGAATTTGCTAGTAAATGTATTTATAAAATTTAGTACTAGTAAAATAAAAAAGTCATTAATGGTAAAATTTGTCAGAGTAGTCTGATAGAGTCAAGTGCATCTGGCTTTGAGTTTATATATTTTAAAATTATTTTGGTATCACTATCTGTTATCTCTCTATAAGTGAGTAAATAACTTATCTGTAAATAAATAGTAAATAGGAGCTTTCTAAAATATTACAGGTTAGTAGATATTATAAATTTTATTCTGAATGACTTAAAAGGGAAGCAATCATCAGATTTTTTCTCTCTGATTTGAACTTCTTTGTGATTTTCAGTTATAAACATTGATGGAGTGTTAATGTGTTCTATTTCTTCAAACATATTTTTACTTGTTTTAAATTAGAGAATAGAAATGAACTAAATGCAAAAAAATTCATTCTTTAAATTTAATCTCAGTAATAATTTTCGACAGTCACAGTAAATTTTTCCTTGTCATCACTTGAGTAAATAAAGTTTGTAAGTGATAAAAATCTGAGAACTAAATCTCTTCTGCTTCAGGGAACTCATCACTTGATGTAAGCAGTAAACTGACCCTATTAATTCTGCTGCAAAAAAGTTTTAAATATTGTGGTGTATTTCTTAAAAATATAACTCAAAGAACTTAAACAACAAATTTATCAGTTCACGTAGAGAATGCTAAGAAGAAACGCTAAAAGAAACCTAGCAAAGAACGCTAAAAGAAACTAGCAAATTATTGATGGTCATTGAAAGATGTTACAAATACACGAAAATTAAAATATATAAATTAGCTCTAGAACTTGATTAACTGAGTGGACGTCGATGTTTTTGCATAACATTGCTTAGCAATATCTGTATGGATTTTTCGGAGCAATGTTTTTATATTATGAATAACATTATTGGAAAAGTTTTCGGTCTGCAAACTGATTGTTTTGGCTAGTTTGAATCATTCGCTTTTACAAAAACTGGTTGTTTTAAGGGCGGTTTTAAGGTCATTTGAAGATCTATCAGCACTATACTATAAATGGAAGCAGTAAGCAGATATTTCTGATCGGTTTTGATATTAATTGTTGGTGTGTTAAATTATCTCTCATACCTTGATATCCTTTTTAACGATAATAGAGTCATTTCGGTTCCTTATTTTGTGCTTCTTTCACTTAATGTTTGAGGTTACATCTAATTTGATTATAAGTACTGCAGCTTTTATTTCTGATTATCTTTTATTTGTGCAAGTGGTTGCATTTATCCAGATTTTAAGACAATCTAACTAAAGTTAGATGGTAATCTGTGAGTTAATTGCTAATTAGTTTTGTTGTAAATTAATATTACTTTCATTCTTTTTCGTTTTACGGGTCGAGAAACATATTGTGATCTTTCAAAATTTTCATATCAATTTACCTTCATTTTCGTACCTTTAATTAAATGTTTAGGTAATCATAAAATCGTAGATTAATATGAATCTTATAGCATTGCGTAAAGTATTATTTTTAAGAAGTTTAGATTATGAGCAAGTTTAAAGTTGTAATTTAATCTAGCACAAACTTTACAAGTTTTTTTAACTAGTGTACCAAGTGGATACATTATTTTGCAGATAGCGTACGTATAAAATTACACGTTCGTTGTTTTGACTTTTTCTTCGAATTTTTAGCACTTTTCTTTGCATTGCATTTAGTAAATAGTTGTTAATGTGGATTATCATATTGATAAATATGCTCATACAAATAAATTGTGTGTATGTAAGTGGATGGATGGATGGATGGATGAATGTAAATATAAATGTTCTTCTATCCATCTAACCATCCATCAACACATACTTGGAAAGAGGAGAGGCAGAGGAGATTGATGTATGTTGAAGACTTTACTTACTTAACTTACGTAGCTTGCAAAAGTTTGATCAATACGCGTAGTGGCTGAGTGTGTTGTGATTTTGTGTGTGAATACGATGATACCTATCGGAGAGGTAAAGTTTGTTTTTTTTATTTTACACATATATTTGAAATTTTATTTCTGCATTAAAATCTGTTAGTTGATTGCTTGGTTATTGTGATAAAAGAGATTCGTGTTACCTAACTATGAAGTTGGTTGTAAAGATAACTGGTAAATGAGTGAAAAAAAGCGTTTAGCTAATTTGTGTAATCTAATTAGCAGACGAAATCGTTAATAATAACTTTTGCGTGGTGAGCTTTGCGATTGATTAAAATTATTTGTTTTTCAAGCTAAAAGACGCATGATTAAGCTCAAAAAGTTACTAGTGTTTTTATCCGTCATTTTTTAAGCACCAAAGGCAGATTACAGTTAATAAAAACAAGCTTTGGCTTTAAATGTTAAAAAAATATCTTAATACCAATAATTGATGTTGACTGGTTAGTAGGTGAGGATTATTTTAATAAGAATTTTTCAATCTGTAAAATGTCGATAATAACTACATGGTCAGCTTTTGAAATTATTACAAAGAAGTGCTGCAAATAAAAGTGGAAGAAATGCAAGCATAATTTAATAATATTAATAAGGTACTTCTTGATAAATACTAGGTGCTGTTGAGCAGCGACGTTACAAATGTGAACTCTCATGCTAAATTTTATAAATATTTTTAATAGCTCCTTCTTTTTAAGGAAATAAAACAATTGGAAGTATTGTAATATTACTTTAATTTAATTGTGTTTACTTCTTAAAACTAGCTATTGAGTTTATTTTTATACTCTTTTTCCTCGATTCTAATGATTGCAATTGTAGACTCAGGATGGACGCGCTGACATGACCAATTTTGAGATGGATTTATTTGATACAAGGATGAATTCATATACTCTTGAAAAGGTTGTTAAATCTTTCAATTTTATTAAGCATGTTTACATTTGTACTGTGTTTTGAATTGTAGTGAAGAAGATTTCATTTCTTTGCTATATTGCTGATTGATTGCAAAATAATTCTTACCTATTTATTGAGTAAAGTTCCAGTGAATTCATTTGTGAAGTATGTTATCGAACTAATATCTTTGTGGCGTTATTCTGTCTTAGATCTGTTTTTAGTTTATCTTCCATATCATAGTTATAAGTTATCTAATTTTTTATTGTGCAATAATTAATTAACTACTATTGCGTAATATTTTAGGACGAAAGTGAGCAGTGTTGTCAGCATAGTATTATCAAACCTGCCTGTGTTCCAATATCAGTTATTTCTCTTTTTATATTTTTGATTGTGTTTCTTCCCTTATTTAGCGAAGATAACTTTGATAATACATCTATGCGTTACGTTCGAAGCGGTTGCTGTACAGATCAGTGCAGGCATGCTTTTGTGACTTTTTTATTCATTAAGAAATTCAAGAGTTGAAAATTTGCTAACAGTAGCAGTCATAAAGTTAATCAATAAACCACGTTTGAAAAAAGTAGTGGATAGAAATGAAAAATCTTCAGAGTGCAATTCGTAGAATCGATTCCATCAGTTTTGGCTTTCAATAGCAGTATTCGTAATCTGGAAACTTATGATGTTTGGAAAAGTTTGTTAGATGAAACTCGTACTTCCATTGATATTGCATCTTTGTATTGGAATCTTCGGGATCCTGAAGCACTCCCAGCTTCTCGAGAAGTCGTTTTCATAGCTTCCTGATTTTTCCACTTCACATCTTTACACTCTTTACTTTGAAGTTTAAAAGTGCTACATATGACCATGAAACTAATAAATTGCTTTGAACAATACAACTTGCTACAATATAAATTTAAATGTAATGATTTTTTTTATTCCATCCAAAATTTGAAAAAGACTTCAAACTTTCATGTTTAAAATATTTTTATCAGTTGAACTTTGTCCTATATTTTTGTTTTGATATGTGTAAGAAAGTTGGTTTATTCTGTTTTTGTTACAAAATTTATGCATTTTTTGTAGGGCAATGACACATTTGCTAGATTTTTAGTTGCCGCTAAACGTGGAGTTCGAGTTAGTTTTTTATTCTCATTTATTAATTTATTTATGTACAGAATTTTTATTTTAGATAAAGAAGAATGTTTATAATTTTCAAATTTCATGAAGATCTGATAATATTCTTATTATTTCATAGATTCGCATTGTTCAAAGTCAACCAACCTCAGTTTTTCCGCAACTCGATACCAAATATTTCTCTAGTTATGGTGAGAGTCTAAATATTCATTGAGTATAGTTTCTGCATGGGCATGTTGAAAGTTACAGTGATAAGATTCTAATCAGTTTATCGCAATTTTCGAATCGTCGGTATTAAATAATAACCAACTTCAATTTACATTTAAAATATAATATTTTCATTTTTCAAATCTTTTAGAATTAATTAGCTTTACTGATCAAGACTTTACATCTAGACACTATATTTGTAAAAGAGCAAAAGGAAATTTGTCAATCATAAAATATTTTTCCGAAACATTAAACCAGCCTACAGTTATTGCAAGTCAACGCTTGTAAATTGGAAAAAACTGATAATTCCGTTTTTATTCATAACTTTTTTTCATATTTAAAAATGAAGCAAACCGATGATCTTATTTTATACTTGTTTTATGTTACGCTTCTGTACGCAGCGTCAATATGTCTAAATTGTTTGGTACTAATGGTATTCTTCATACCAAATTTTGGATTGCTGATTCTCGACACGTTTATATTGGATCAGCTAATATGGATTGGAAATCTCTTACCATGGTGATCATAAATTACCTTACTGCATTTGTAAATTTATAGGAGATTTGAAGCAGAATCCTCTTTCATTTGTCATATTATTTGATGAGTTAAGAAAAATATGAGGAAATATGCAACAGTCATGAAATTGTTAAATTGAGAACAGAAAAGTTATAGTAATTTCAGGATAGGAAGAATGATTTCAATATTTATTCAGTGGTTTATTTTTTCAGGTTAAGGAATTTGGTGTTATTATTTGGAATTGTACATGTATAGCAAATGATTTATACAAAATTTTTAATGTGTATTGGCGTCTTGGTGTTGATGGTGCCATAGTTCCTCATAAATGGCCATTGAATTTACGAACTTATTTCAACTTCTCTCATCCACTTAAACTTTCTAATGTTGGAGATACTGGTGTTTTCATATCCGTATGTTTTTTCAAACATTTGCTTTCGTTATGTGCTGGTAAGAAATTTAAATCTGAAGAATTGAAAGAAATTTGGGATCGTGTGTAAATACGTGATTAGCAATGCTTTATATTATACATTCGTTTTGAATGTGTTATTGTGAATCATAAACAATTGTTCATTTTACAATTTAGAGCTCACCTCCTGAATTCAATGCGAAAGGTCGCGAAGAGGACGGAAATGCAATTGTGGCAGTAATGGGAGATGCAGAAAATTTCGTGCATATATCCGTTATGGATTATATGCCTGTAACACTGTATATGACCAACAACACGTTAGCTTTTTTAAGACGGAATCTGATACCATTTGTCAGTAAAATAATAATCACAGTTTAGAGCTATACAATTATTAACCATTGTGTTGCGGAAGCATTGAGTAATTGCATTAATCTCAGATTCATTATAATTCCAGATGTCATTATTCGTAGGATTTTAAGCCTAGTGGTATGAACCGTAATTTAAACAATTTTTGGTTAAATCTTGAAAGAAGTGTTAAAGAAGTGATTTGTGTTAATTGTTGATAGTTTGGTTTCTCTGCTTGGTCAGATGTGCAAGTGACAATTTGAATTGATGTTTCAAAGCTTTGACAGTGGCATTATATTTTCCTCTTTTGATAGATGAGAGATTTATGCTTATTGTGATGGCTCTTTCTTGATAAATTAGGATCGTTTGTAAATACGTACTTAGCAATACTTTATATTATACTCAGATTGGTGCACATAAGTAGTTTTTTTCGTTAGTTTTGTGGATTAAATAAGTCTTTCAGATACTGGCCGAAATTAGATGATGCTATACGATCAACAGCTTATCGGGGCGTAAAGATCCGATTATTAGTAGGTTACTGGAAGTATTCAAAGCCTGAAATGATCTCTTTTTTGAAATCATTGCTTGAAATAAATTCTGGTATTCCAAGCCGTGCAAATCACTCAGGAAAAATAGAAGTGGTAAGTTCTTTGGTGAAATGGAGAACATTTCAGAATTTTTCGAACTGATTTTCTGAAATCTTGGTTTTTAACCATTTCATTCCATGTCAAAAAATGCCATGATATAGAATTTTGCTTCTTCACAAGTTTACCGAATACATTTGTCTCTACTAAATTTCTAAGAATTAAATGATAGTCGGTGTTAGCATTCAGGGAACATTGCTTTTACATACCATCCTCTAGCCTGTCTTTCTTAATATGTTAATTTGAGTGAGATGTTGCAGAAAATGTTTGCATTTCCAACCAATTCATCACCAGAGGAATTTTCATATACTTATGTGAATCATTGCAAATATATGGTTACCGAGAAAATTGCTTATATCGGTTGGTTTCTTGATACAAAAGAATTATAGTCGTAGTTTTGAAGGATGTGCTATTGAATTGAGAGATGTGACTTTTCCAGGTACTTCCAACTGGGTTGGCGATTACTTTTTAAATACTGCAGGCGTTGGTGTTTCTTTTATTTCGCCGTCATTTGCCAAATCTCTGAATGAAGTTTTTATGAGAGACTGGAATTCAGTGTATGCCAAGAACGTCAGGGACTTTTTATTGACCAAACATTCGTAATAATTAGGTGTCTTTCTTGGTAATTTCATCTTTATTACCTTCTCATTTGAATTGTTAGTAATTCACTCGCAAATTTATTCTATATTTGTGAAAAAAGAAAATCTTTCATCAGCTCCTAACCTATGCCTAATATAGATCTAAATTCGTTGTTATTTGTTAGTTGATTTGAAAGTATTTTATTCTGCCGGTGTAAAAGGGGCAAAAATTAATACTAGAAGAAATATCTTTGGCCTTTATTTTATTACAGTGTTAGATCCTGATTGTTTCCAATTTATAGTGGGATTAAATGTTGCAACAGATTCTAACTTGGAAATTAGTACTTCGTTAGAATTTGGGACCATTCAGAAGTAGCCAGTATTGAGGAAATAATGGATTAAAGCAGGCTAACTCTAACTTTTCTAATTAGAAAAACACTTATTCATAACATTAGATCGTTCAGTTGTTGGTGTTATCATTTCTGTTAAATTTTGTTATATCGAACACTGAATTATTTTATATTGTTGTATTCAAGCATCATTATGACCATCGGTTTGTTGTAGAAAATTGTGACTCTGTATACCTCTCCATTGATCTCCATTTGTTTCATATCCTTGCCTCATAACGCTTTTTTTATGACGCACTTCGTAATTATACACTATTGCTACCAATAGTTTATTGTCAGTTAATGTGACCGATGTTTTTAGGGAAATATGATGGAATCTATAGATAATGAAACTGCATGAATCGCAGCTTCAACATCTTTCGAATTGTTAGTAATTCACTAGCAAATTTATTCTATATCTGTGAAAGAAGAAGATCTTGCATCAGCTCCTAACCTATGCCTAATATAGATCTAAATTCGTTGTTATTTGTTAGTTGATTTGAAAATATTTTATTCTGCCGGTGTAAAGGGGGCAAAAATTGTAACTTCTTTTTATGACTTTGTAATTATGGCAGTTCAGTTATTTTCGTTTTCATTGCATTGATTGGTTCCACGAATATAATATAATTATCTGGAATGAAATATAATATAATTATCTGGAATGAAATTATCCCAAATATCTAATCTATTTAATTAATCATCAATTTCACGCGTACGTGTAGCTGCTCAATGAAATAAATCGATAACTGGTGATTGCAGTAATCGAAATGTCGTTTTCTGAAAAACGCACGCGTAAATTATGGGATGCTTTACAAATCACGAATCCTTGGAGAGTGCAAATAACTTTTTTGTTCGGAAGTAAAGTTTACATTCCTTAACTACCCTCAGTAAGACTCAAAATTACATGCAATTGATGAGTGATTTATCGCTTCTTCTGCACGTTTCTATACCGATTATGAGTTACCGAACATAAATGGTAACAACAAGACCGCCATGGTCCCAAGTCCATCTTAGGGATCTTAGCACAAGAACTGTACAATCGACCAATTTTCCCAGGATACAGGAATACATCATTCTGCAGGAGGAAAATAGTGCAAGAAAGGCGGTAAAAGATCATAGTATTAATGAGATATATTCACAGATAATAAGTACTTATAAGGTCATTCATAAAATCCAATTAAGTAGTGGTTCAAAGACGTTCTCCAAAATTTATGGCTTACTTATGCCAGAAACTGATTAAAACTTTTACTCCTGCAGAATTACAATAGGAGAGATGGTAGGTGTGGGTTACTACTAATTATTAACGATTAACAGTGAGAATAATGTATAGGCCAAATTCACCTGTAAATTCCTAATATGATCAGAGTTATCGCAAATAATCTGTGCCAGTGATACTTTCCGAATTTGTGCCAACTGTCCTTTACTAAATACATCTTTCTTTTCGTACCTACAAGTTTTTTTATAGTTTACATTTCGCAAATAAGATGCAATTATATTCCCAGTAACAAACCAAAATCGATCAGCATCACGTATACGTCTGAACTGTTCAGCAATGATGCATGAAAATGTAGGACCAATTAATGATTTATTCCACCTTTCTTCAGCAATACCGCCAGCGAATAAATCGATATTCCCTGGTAAAGAGATGATACAACATTTTTTACGTTCAAGATCAGATCAAAAGTGCTAAATATATATATACAGAAGATTTCAGTGTTTATTATCAAGCACTGTCTCTTTCGCAGTAGATAAATTTGTAAATTAAAATAAAAGCTCTAACCAGGATGACCATAGAGATCTTTTAGTTTGCGAATAACGTCGTATGTCATTATATTCTTCAAATCATCCCAGTTTTCCACTAAAGAGAGATTACACCATCTGCGAAATTCCACATATCTAAAAGACTCGCGGAAATATTAAGTTCAGAAGTAAAATGAAGATTGATCTTTTTTCTGTCCAAACTTAAATCTGATATTTAATTTACAAATTTATCTACTGCTTAATAAATTACCCAGGGAGAGCATGATCTCGACCTCTCTGTATATTTATTGCTGCTAAATCTAGTGCTACCTGCAATTAAACTTGAATACTTCATTAAAAGACAAAAAAATAACTTTCATTACATTTATTAGGAAAATGAACTTGGACGTAACAACGATTTAAAGCAATGCGTATTTGTCAATGTTTAACTGCGACAAATAATTGAATGGAGTTTAATTTATGCCTCCTTGAGCAGTTATCGAAACAAAACTTGAGAGTACATGGATTCAAATTATGCTCACGTCGTGTGCTCGATTGAATAGACTTTCAGTGAGTTGATCGTTGAGCAATTCTCTCGATGTCGGATTCTTCATAGGAGCAGCAAACAAACCACGCAAATATGGATCGATACTTCCTGTTGAGAGAAGTACTTCCGGAGCAAAAAATGCATCTCTCAGGGAAATGTGCCCTTGCTTAATTGGCGCAAAGTCTTCACCAAGTCTAAATCGGCGATGCAATCAATACGTGACAACTTTCTAATCAAAAATTACAATGAAAATTCAAGAACATGTACAAAGAATGAAATGAAAAGGAGAATGTACGAGGATGACGCCAAGAAGAACCTTAGAATCTGACTTCTCCTAGCAACATATAACTGCTAAACATTATTCAACTTCAATAATAATTAGATTGTACTCCAACTTTTAGTCTCGGTGACCGCTTCCTGATAAAAATTTGTCACTATCGATAAAATTTAAGAGTTATTCATAAGTAACTACTAGAGTATGAATTTTTTCCCGCAAAATAAATGACCGTTTTTATTGTTTTTCGTGCATGTCTACTAATTTAATGAATCTGCAAACTAATATGAGAATTGAAATCAATCATTTCAAACTTAGTTTTTTAAATGCAATTACTACTGATGAGATCTCATTTAAACAAAGGGTGTTTTGATTCTTGAAAGATTTTCAACGATTGAAAAACTGACAAGTACATTTCTTAAAAAAAATAAATCTCTGACTTGCAAAATTAAATTTACTGAACTTTTCAAAACAATTAAATCTTTTTCGCACTTAATTTGTTATATAACATTACAGAACAAGAAAAATCAGATGACCTAAATAATACCTGTATAAAATTGGATTAACTAAGGTATGTCCAAAACGGAACGCTGCGGTTGCAAATGCGTTTGATATAGTAGAATCAAGCCATGGCTGGTAACCAGTATACATACCGATGAGTCTATCAAATTGCTCCTTCAATATGTCTTTCGTGCACTTAATCACAAAAATAATTCAATTTAGTACAACAAAAAGATTTACAAATGGAAAACAAACCTTTCCAAGAACTTTGGGGAGCCAATGCTGAAACGTGATGTGTTGCAGTTCAGCGATGACAATTTTACGAACTTCTTGAAATATTGTTTCACCGTCAAGACCAGGATTCAATTTGTTAAGCTCACTTGCTAGTCTGTTATGCTCTCGCAAAAAAATTGTGTGCATGCTTATTAATCCAAGCTATAAAACAATTAAACTTCAGATTTTGACGAAATTTAAAAGCTGATGTGGGAAGCAAGTGATGAGTAGATGAACTTTATAAAATACAACGATGATTAAGAAATCATATAATAAAAGAGTAATCGGTAGTACAAAAAAGGAAATTAGTCTCTGATTATGCTTCACGAATAATAAGTGAAATATTGTTTATTCCAAATGATATATGTTGATAACAGAAATTTAAAAAATTTTCACATAGCAATTGAAAAGTAATAAACTCAAATTTTATAAACTGAGTTGTTTTCCAACCTGTTCATTGGCTCGGAAATCCCCAGCTAAGAAGCATCGAACCGGATGATTTAATGTCCAGTTTCTTCGACAATCAATAGCAGAATCACGTTCAAATGGTAAGTATGGCTTATTTGCTGCTGATACTATGTCATACCTATTTGTATTCAATAATTTAAGTCACAGTAAAACAAAAATTTAACTATGAGTCATATAATAGTAAATATTAAAAAATGTACATTAAAAAAATGTACCACTCTCTAAAATTAATTAATATCTTACTTCTAAACACCTAATGCTGTGTTTGTTTTAATATGTATGAAGAATTAAATTTGTAGATACCATAGATCATCAGATACTACAATATGACAAATAAATGTGCAAAAACAACTACGTGATTTCGAGCCGACAAAAATCTTAAAAACTGTGATGTACGTAATGTGCTGGGTACCTAAGTAAACCACGATCGGGATTGAGCTCACGCAGATCGAAAGCGTCCTTTTCTGTGCTGCCATAAATTCCGGAAGCATCAATAAAACTTGTAATCTAAAATGTGACGATCCTTACGATCAATTCATGCAATACTTCTGTCTATACTGAAGTTTAAATACGACAAATTCATAAGTTCAAACGTACAGTATTCATCTGTTCACGATAAGTAACTTGACGATAAATGAGAGACGTTTCACCTGAACCACACACTGCACTTGAACGTTCGAATTCAATACATGGATATTTTGGGCTACAAAGTAATCACTTTCACTAATAATCGAATATGGTTCAATTTTTTATTCTTTCTTGTCTAAATTCTAAAAAACTGAAAATAATATGACTTTTGCTTATTGAAAATATTCTTCGATTAATTTTTATGCGTGAATTCATCTATAACGCACTTTACAAGCATCTTAGGATCATCCTCTAACAAAGGAATGTTGAAACATGGATTAAGGTTTTCACATGTTCGATTACAAATTGCTCCAGTTGCAAAAGCATGACGACTTACTGCGGTTGCTATAAAATCCAGGTCATGATCTGAAAACTGTTACAAATTTATCATATTTTCGAAAATATCACTTTCAGTCAATATCATTTTCAGTTGGTAACTAGGATGAAAAGTCATCTGATCATTTATATTTCAGTATTTTTTGAATATATATGAAATTCTTCTAAATTAAAATAAATAAAATAACCAATAAATTGTCCCCATTGCATTAACATAGCTGAATAAGTCTTGTGTGGAGTGATATAAGCAGTTCGAAGGAGCTAAAATATTTATATACATTGAAAAGCTATTTTGCTACTGTCAATTAGCAGGTATTTTTTTCCAGACGAATAGTTATTGATAAATCATATACAGATACGATAGCTGCCACTGAACCAGAATAATATGATACCTCTCTGGAAACATTCCGCGCATTGGGCTTTCGATAGCCAAAGTATAATTTGTCTGGATTCCATCCAACTGGTGTGTTAAATCCATTTTCATAAATCGGAGGTAGTAACCGACGAAAATGAGTTTGACTCGCACCCCACAGTGGATGTTGTTCATTGTTACACTGTCCATCATATGTACTGAAACATAAGTAGCTAACAAGATGTAAAACTTTATCAGTACCTGAGACGCAAAATTAGTAGTTAAAGATTCAAAAACAAATAATAAAAAGCATATTTAAAGTTCTTACTGAATATTAGTCGATGAAGTATGCAAACTGTCCATAAATTAGAAAAATAATTTTTTATTTTTGTTTCTACATTAAGCAATATTTTTATTTTATTTATATAATAATTCCAGATTCCTTTTAACTTGATAAGAGATGAAATCACTTGAAAAAATTCATGAAAAAAATGAAGCCTCACTAAATCATTGAAATATATAGTTGAAAAATGAAATCAAAAGTGATCAAAATTTTGTTGTTGGAAGTGAATTTGGTGAGTAATAATTTATTAAGGGACATTTTTTTTCAAAAAATAACATTATAAATTTAACAAATCTATCACTAAAAATTACCGATAACGTGAATGGAAACACTGATCATCACAAGGATCTCGATTTTGCGTTCCTGAACAACCAGAAAGTTGCATCAACATGTCAACATGACCTTTCGACAAAACAGACTCGAAGGAAATGCTGGGAGAGCGTTCTTGCAAAGATAGATTCAAGCCTGTGTTACATTCAGTTTTATGAATGGAGTAAATTTTTCAAATGTTTGAGAATCTTTATGTGAAATAATCTTCAAAAAAGCAATTTCGAATATGATTTTTTTACATTTTTCTGTAAAGTTTCATTTCATATTAGTGAAATTGGTATAGCTGAACTTCACTAATGAATGAATCTACGAAGGAAGCAACAAAGCTAAAAAAATTTTTCGAGAATTTCATTTTTACCATTTTAGAATATTAGTTCCTTATACCAATACTAAACTAAATTAAATAGTAAACTTCTTGAATGCGAAATCAGAATACCTTTTTCAACGTGTTTTTGAATCAGACGAATACTTTCTTCATAAATTTCTCGTGCACGACTATGTTCTATTGTCTGTGGAAATGAAAACTGGAACCACCGCATTAATTCATGCGGAGAAGTTATTTTTGATATTCGTTCACGTGTTTCTTCAATAGCACTAAAAAGGAAATTAATGCTACATGAATATGATTATTTTCATTCTTGAGTATATTCAAATATTTGAGTCATTAACCTGAAAATGAACTGAATACTCAATACTGAGCGATGCGTTTACTCTGAAATTTCTTATGACCAAAATTATTTGCCTGTCAACATTTTCAGATGCTTGGTGGAATATTTCATTGAGGAAACGATCATCTTCCGAACTTTGCTGCAATTGGTTGGAATTAATCATTAGACGAGCTTCAGCTGTCATCGAACCAACAGTATTACCAGCCATGCAAGCGTATACGCCTTCGTCACGTTTTGTAACTTTTGATACGGTCAGTTGCGTCTGATCATCTGATACCTTAATTCTAATTTCAATATTATAAACAGTAAATTCTCTTCAAGAGTGATTCAAAGAACGGAAATTCTTACATGAAAATGACCCTTGATTACAGGTATTTCGCCACCATTTAATAACCATGTAATTGACGGATATGGTTCTCCTTCAGCGCGGCAACGAAAGTTTACTATTGAACCTCGAGATACTGTCTGACTTTCAGGCCCTTCAATAATTACAGGTGGCGAGCTAGAAACGAGACGAACTTCTGCGGACGCTTCAATTCGTCCGTGTTTGTTTTCAGCAATGCAAGTATAACTGAACATTACAGTATTTGTCTATTTATATGATTCATTCTCTTTCTTGAATACTTGTAACAGTATTAAAGTGCTAACTTTCCAACATCTCTTTCCAAAACTGAAACGATGTTTAGAGTTGTTTTTTCTAAATTCATTTCATACTTTCTCGATCTTTTCAACTTCTTGCCACGAAAATACCAACTTATTAAAGGCCGAGGCTTTCCAATAACCTGCAATGATCTTTTTACATTTATGGTAATTGTAGTATCGACCTATGCATAATGAAAACATGTTTTAAAGTTTACTGAATACAAAGGCAAAGCTTCTTACTAAATCTCCACTTACAACTTTTGATTTCAAAATTACTGAAAAAGAATGCCGAAAAGTAACGCTTATTGGACCTCACAATCTAGACGAGCAATAGTTCCTTCTCGGTATAACCGATTCTTGGGTTTCAGCGTAAATTTCAATTCAGGAGCTTTGAGAACTGCCCGCGGATGCCGTATACTATAACAGTCCACGATTTACGAGATATGTAATCATTTATAAGTAATTTTGCCTTAAATTATGAATTCATAATTGTAAAAAACATGAAGTAATAACAAGTTGCTTACTTGTTTAAAGTTAAATTATACTCGATACTGCATTGTAGTTCACTTAAGATGACATCAGAATTTATATGAATTATCCCATTTTTTTTTATTTTGAATCCTTTTTGGGCATCTCTATCATTCACTTCTTCTCCTCTATAAAATAGTATTCAGATTTGAAAATTAGATATTAGTCAGTCATCACTCGTTTAACTTTAATCTCTATTTTTAGCTCTGATCATATGATCATTGACAAGTTTAATACTTCAACTCGAAGCTGTGATATCATTATGTTCTATCAATTATTTTATTTTACTCTACGACTTTAAAGCTAATTTTTCCTAACAAATAGTAAGTCACCATCAACCTTCTTTGCATCATTTTTCCTGTAATTTTACAGTATTTCATAGCAGAACTATGAATAACAAATTAAGGAATAATTTAAGTGAAACCAAAACTGCAATGGCAGTTCTCGAATCCATGAAAACAAGCAATTTAGAATTTAATCAATAACTAGATGATAGGCTCACTTGTAAATAAAAGTTACATAAGCATATTCGTCAGCATCACATCTTACGCTACGTGGATCATCCAAAATTTTCACTCCGAAGCATTTAATCTCGTTTTCTTGAAGTGCTAGCAAGTGTTTCTGCCGGAGCCTGATAGGATTCTCGCAAACTGGGGATGTTTCACATCGCTTATTAACAAAACTTAACAACCACAACCACCTAAAGTTATTTTAAATAATTTTTTACTTTAATAGGTAATACATAAGATATTTGGGTGGTTTATTTTTAAATAATAGTATAATCTACGGAGTTACCTGAGAAATTATAAGGTTTTTCTGAGTGCAATTTTTTTATTACAGTATTAACTTACACATGTTTTCTAAAATAAAAACTAGGTTATTGAGGAGTTTGAAAAAATAAGATAGCCATGCATTATTTTTCTATTTTGATGAATCGAAGTAGTAAAATGACTAGAAGAAAATAGTTAAGTAATGAGCAAGTTATTTAAGTAAGAATATTTTTTGAAATAATAAAGTACTGGTTAAGTTTCTGAATTTCAATTAATACCTGCAGTCACAGTTTATCGGATTATCAGTTAAGATGAGACTTTGCAAAGTTTTTGAATAGTCAAAAACGTGTTTCGGCAAAGTTTGAATAGCATTATCAGCCAAATTGAATACATGAAGATATGGTAAATTCCATAGAAGTTGATGAGAAATATGCGCAATGTGATTAGATGATAAATCGAGATAATGGAATTTGAGAAGATGCCGAGAACTGATTTTAGGAATTGATTGTAAACGATTTCCAGCGAGTAATAGCTTCTTCAATTCATAATTTTCATCGAATACATTCTAAAATCATAAAGCTTTGTTTATATCGAAGAAAGAAGTCCATGAAATCCTTAGCTAACTAATTTGTTTCAGTAAACATATTCAGACTTTTAAAAAAATGAATATACTATAGTATGAGAAACAAATTATACTATAAGATGTGATGTAAAAACTCTCACCTTTTTTAGACGGCAACTAAAGTGAACTTGGTTGAAGTGCAAAAACTATAGACTAAGGTGCATAAATCTTGCATAAAGCATTGCTACCAGAAGTATTGCTTACCTTTTCTATTCCACGGATTTGATTCCATGAAATTAGTAAAACTTGTAATTTATGCAAATTTTTGAAATCGCTTTTGAAAATCTTTATTATATAATTATTACGCAAATCTAATATTGTAGTATTGAGCGGTAAATATCGCGGTACAACATGTAATGACCGTCTACGACAATTAACAAATCCATCAAAACACATGCATCGTTCAGGGCATTTGTTATTGACAGAAGTTTCAGTAATTTTAAATATAGATAAGATTAACAGGAAAAATAACCAGTACATTTCGTCTATAGCATAAAATATATTTAAAAAAATATGACTCTGAAACAACAATGGACTGGAATGATTTTCGAAATTACCACATTATCTATGGAATCGTATCAGAAACTTATCAATTCTTAGTAATGAACCATGCATTCCTTTACACTACAAATAGCAGTAAATATTATCTGTTAGACAAGGTTCAGTACTAAATCAAAATCTAACGTCTTCAAAATATTTATAATGAAGTTTTACAGACGAAACTTTTTCTTAAAAATTTCTTAAAACATCGGCGTGCTCAGAAGTTTGGATATAGACGTAAAGTGAGTTCTAGTGAATATCTAACTCCAAGATTATACTTTCAATCTGCATTCTCAGAATCAAGAACAATACAAAAGTTAAGGAATCTTGACCTTTTAACTTTTAAAAAAAAATTACATTCTTTTCGAGAGGAACTGAATAAATTAGAGAACTAACATCGTGCTCTATAAACTAATAACACTAAAGCAACTGTTTCTTAAGCTAATTATCATGAAACTTTGATTGATAACATTTTACATCAGAATACTTCTCATTACACTATAACATCTGCTACTTTACAAATAGCTTTCTCAGTGAATTTTTTAACCATGACTTGATTATTTTTCTCAAGCTGCACTTTAAACTCTTAAAATGAATATTTCTAAAATTCATTTATCAACAAAAAGTAGTAATTTCACAGCACTTCGCCACAACAATATCTCGAATCTAAAATTAAGAGTAGTAGCAGACTAACCTATGATTCCGGATACTTTAGAAGAATAATATTAACCCGCAGAAAACACTAACACTGGTGAAGTTTTCAGTAGATCAAAAACTTAAGCACTGATAACTACAAATAAATAAGAATGAAAACTTGGAATATTTACAATGTTATACTCAGCTTGCATTTATGATGAATTGTTTAACTATGAATATAAATTAAGATGCATAAATTCTCAACATCCATCCCTTTTTATCGGCCTTAAAAACCATTTGTAAACTTGGACTTGATACTATTCATGTAGAAGACAACGTTTTCAAGCAAGTGTTTTTCTTGCATTTATTTTCATTTGTGACACACATCCCATGACAATTTCTAATAGTAATACTTTCAAGTTATTTATTTTAATCATTAAGTTTTATGTTCCATGAGACAGAGTAATTTGATCCTAAAATACTCTATATTATTCTGAAAATTTTCATTTTCTAAAAAAAATTTCGAAATACAATTAGCAGTGTCAATAAAATTATAGAGACAAAATATATGGCTTTATTAATCATTATGCAAATTCCACATCGATAATTTAGCATCTTTAGAACACACAAACAATAACCGGCGTTTATTAACTTGATTCCAATGCAAAAAGTTGATAATTTCGGAATGAAAATCTAGAAAAGCCCGTATCTTGCCTGTTTTTACAGAGTTTATACGAACTGTTCCGTTCCAATAACCTGATGCAAGCATTTTGCCGCATTCTGAGAAACATAACGACGAACAACCACCAGCTCTATAATGAAAATACGTTTGGCACTGAACATTCCTCAACAAATTTTCTGTCAATATTTTAAATTTCTATGTTGCTTGTTATACATTTATTTGAAAATAAGAGCATAGAAAAGTCTTTATTCTTTTATTTTTTTATGGAAGTAAAAACCAGAGAATATCTATGTTGATTGTACTCCTCGTTCAGAAATTTTAAAAAATTAAGATTTCAGTCAGTACAGAATGCAGTTCAAAGTGATACATTATAATGAGCTTCATAACTGTTCATTTTTGAAAACCTTACTCTATTTCAGATGAAACCTTTCCAAAAAAACTCGCTGGTACTTTCTATTCATTTCATTCACCACAAATTAAAAACCTACTTTTGTGGGTACATAATTTCTTTTTCGACAGTAATTTCTCCATCACATTTGCATAACATTATCGGTGGCTTGACAGACGATATTGCAAACATATTAGCAAATGACGCGCATGAAAAAATAGAGTCCGAATATAGCTGCTTCTGAAATGAAACGAAATCATTAGGTAAATATAGTAGACACGAAAATTGGTAGTAATTATTAGAATGATCACATACTTCATGTTTAATAGTAAGATCTGAAATATCAACAATTCTTGTGTTTCCATCGTCGAAACCACAAATCAAATACCCATTATTTGTTACCGAAGTGGCCATTAAAGAGCAACGATTATCGGAAAACTCAACTTCAGACGATTCCTCTGATATGTCCGAATAAATATTGATTTTACATTTATCATTCTAAACCACAAAATAATCATGAATGTTAAAGCAAGGAAACATACAGCTTTAGAAATTCTACTTCATAGATATATAAATACAAATACCTTATACATAGGACAAAAAAAGTTAGATTTGTCACGAAATGCACCACAGAAACCATAATATTCTGTCCGTATAGACTTTGTAATGTTGAAGTTTAAAACCTAAAAACACAAGAATATAGTATGCAAAGTATTATTATTAACTAAGACATTGTTACTTAGAAGAGGAAAATTTTTCCTAGGTACATCAAATTATTTCAAATAAAAAAGAAACAAGTGCAAAACAAGAGATAAATTTTACTTTTGAATTTTCGTTCACTGATAGCACTAGAATTTTATACGCGCGAATATGTAAGAAAATACAGTTTTCCGAAAACTGCCCAACTGCTACGATTGATCTCTTATTAAGGTCATCTGGAATTAACTGAAGTACAAGTTTTACGTCCTTCATATCCCTCATTTATGATTAACAAATCATAGTTGAGAGCAAACACAAGAATCAAATACCGAAACTCACCAAATTCCACACATCCTTTCATATAAACAAAAACACTATACTTCGGTAAAAACAAAACAAATATTAATTACTGAACAAGCACAAAAAACATTTAGCAAGCCACTTATAAATTTCATACGGCTTATTTTAATAACCGATATTAAATATTAATAAAAAGTCGAGCTCGAAATACATTAAATGTAAACAAACCATAAACTGTAGCAACATGTAAGTGATTTGTAAGCGAAAATAAACGACAATTCCCACCAGTAGTACCAACAGACAAGTAAGTCTCATCATTCAAAGTTACAATAGCAGAACAAGAAACACCACGATCCAAGCCAAAATGAACAAATAGTGGAGAAGGAACAGCCATCACTAATTTTCTTCTAGATTCATTTATTTCTCATTTCTTGTCATATACACATCTAACCATATCATTCCACTCATATGCATAAAACACACGTTGCGCAGTCCCTGAAACCTTATCTGAATTCTCATGATTATTTGTTTGCATAAATCGACCTTACAACTTTAAAAGACCCAAAGCTCCCTACATCTAATATTAAATCTCAAGATTCACATTCCCAGACTTATATTATGATCTGCTTCTCACAACAATGAATCAATCTTTATTTGAATTGTTAAATGGGAAGCCCTCAATACATAAGCACTGATCTCAAATCCTGAAAACTGTCCAATATTTAATACATTTCCATCTAATAAAGTAATGAAAAAACATGAAAAATATAACAGTAAGACAATAACAAATGAACTTTTCGCGAAATGCAGCTATTTCATATTTTTACAGATGAAACATATCAATTTATCAAACATATACAACACTCATACTGATAAGTAAAACAAAACAATCGCAACTATGGAATTCTGCAATTTTATTTACTTTCAAATATTTTCTTTGTTTTCCTGTTTATCCTGAAAAAAGTCATGAATTAGTAATCTGAAAACATATAAGTTTAATTACATAAAATAATATTTTGATCATATAGATTGTGGTTACTAGAATCATTTTATAAAACGATATTTTGAAATATTGAATTTAATGGCCACAACTCATGTAACAAAAGAAATTTATCGGAATAATTCAGGGTAGAAGAGATGAAAAGCAGTTCTAACACTTTCTTGCTAAGATCGCTGAAAAAAAGTGCTACCAACTAATCTTTTACTGATAAGACGTGATATATTCTTTTTGCATGTTGAACAATTGATGGACAAAATTAAAATTCTTTGAAACTCATAAACTGACCCGTCTGTAATTCATAATAGTTTCCCTGATATGATAATCGATTTTCTTTTGTTGGTGTGCTGATAATGAAGGAATATAAGTTCGCAGTGAATCCAAAACATCAGTGCCTTCTTTTTGAGTCTGTTCCAATAATTCGTCGAATTCCTTATTTGTTAAAACTGTTAGCATTGCCTGAAGTCTGAGAGAGTGTACTTGTAACAATTAACTTTCTTCAGGACTATTATGTGTGCTTCAGAATTCTAGGACTGAACAGAAGATGAAATATACTGACAGCCGTTTATTTAAAAAACAAACAAACTAGTTGGACTCAAAACAAAGGTGGATATATGTGGAAATTACAGGATTTAAATTCAAAATAAGAAACTCAATTAATATTAATAACTAGAAGCAAAACCACTAGCAGTTGAATGAATTTCTGGCATGCATCCGAAATGCCACTAACGATGAATACAAAATGCAATACATTTGCCCTAGAATATTTTTCAAACGTCAAGAACTAATATGAATGACTTAAAACCTACAAAATAAGAATGAGGGGCATTCGCAACAGCGCAGCGAACAAAATGAGGCCATAAGCTTTCATCACGACTCCATGGTTTTTTATTAGCGATTTTAACTAGTACGTTTGAGATGAAACCACCCAATGCTGGGAAGATTTTATGTGACCGTGTAACAGTATAGAATAATGTTTGAGAAAATACCTCATCATCACACAGCTGATCTATTGCAGCACCTATGGCATCTTTAGATGCTGTTAACTGCGTCAGTAAAATATCAATATCTGAAACAAATATATTGTTCCCGTACCACACTCATTTAAATATTTTTTTTCCATCAGTCAACATTAAATGAACAATTTTACAATAAGATTAGTAATCATTATTAGTTACAACATGAAAGCAAAACTAACTTTGAAGTAACAAATTATTTTCATCCATATTTTCGATTTCGATTTTATGTAAAGCCATAAGCAGTTCACCGGCACCCATTGGATGAAGACCTGTTTTGATACCTGAAGCATTTTTAAAAATGTTTCCTCAAAATTCCTCAAAATGTGTTAGCAGCAATAAAATCTCATTTAATTACAGTTTTAAATTTACTTCTTCCAGTTAGCAGCTTATTGAACACAACAGACACTGATTTCTGATTCACTGGTGTAAGTACGAACTTTGGCAAAATTTTTAATATCTGATCCTGCAAAATACTTCAGGTCATCAAATAATATGGGAAAATTTACGCGGTTAATGATTTTTAATACTGCCCAGACAATTTGTTGCAACAATATTATCTCATATCAGTTTTGCTCCGTAAACAATAGATTGGTACAGTTTCGAAAAAAATAAAATTCTTGGAGTTCACTTTTGAAATCACGAAATCTTGCAAGTATAACCTTATCAAGACCACTTAAAACCGGTATCATTGAACGAACATCTGTCCTCCCTTGATCATACAGTGCAGTTATTTTATTTACTAAATCTTGAGTTGGTGGATCTAAAATACTTTACAAATGGTCGCTGCAAAATACATAACAGTTTTTCTTAAAATTTATAACATGACTGCATAGTAATCTTCCAAAGACAGTTTCTTAAACAAAAATTTCAGAATCACAATATGTTGACCTCAGCATTATTTTTGACTCCTAATGTCCAGTAAAAGAACATCTCTGTGTCTGGTAATGATTTGACTTTTCATACCTATGCCTCTCACATAATTGTTCTATATATCGGTAAATTAACATAATGTTATCTAATATAATAATTGCATTTTCTCACTTTCAATACGTTCTCCACAATAATGATTGTTGACTCAATTCAGTGCTGCATATAAATTAACTCTAACAAACTTGAAGAGAAACATTTGCATAAAAGTCGATATTAAGACAAGTCAAATTTTCGCTTGTAAAATTAGGAAATATACTTCTTTCTGTGAGTAGATGCACTATTCTTGCAGCTAATGTTTCTGCTCCCAGTGGACAATTCTCGATCATTTCTAATAAGTGCTCACTCGTAGCACCTATCGATTTTATTGCACTGTCAATTGTACGTAACATAACCTGAAATCTGATCACATTTGTCAAGTTTACATGATGATTCTCATCATGTAAACTTGACAAATGAGTGGAGCTCGTAAAATTGGATAACAGATGCTCTAAACTGTGCGCTCTATAGATTAAAAAATTCAAAAATAATACTTTGAATAGAATAATATAAATATAATATCAAAATAACATTAAAAAGATAAATCAAAATCTTTTAATATAACACAATCAATTTTTAAATATTTTTGAAATTTTTTTCATCAAGCGTAAGCTGGTGAGATTAAAAAAAGGATAACAAAATTTTGCTGACTACAATACCCTTTTTATGTCGTTGGAAGATCTAGCGTAAACCGATGCTAAAGTAGGTATTAACGAGTGATCGAGAGGGAGGATAGATAAAAACAAGTTCAAAGTGATCCGTATTGTGGCATCATCCCACTCTCTCGCAGCATTTTCTTCTGCAAAAGCAAAAAGTTGTGGTGGCGGGACTGATTCTGTGCAGTGTTCTATAGAATGAATCAAATATTTCCGAACATCTCCTCTGAAAATGACAATAAAGTGTTACTGAAAAGTGAAAGATCTTAATGCAAACAACTTAATGAGTCGATAGAAAAAGTACATGCCTCACATAATCAATTTGATAAAGTTCTTTAGCTGTCTCAACACTTTGTGTGCGGACATCAACCCTATCACTGTATGAGAAATCAAGGAGAATGTTTAATAATTCATTTCTTTGTCTTGCTCGAGTCAAAATCAATTCTCGCAAAGTAGTCATTCCAAATGCTCCAAATACCTTGAAAAAATTGTTATCTATGTATTATAAAATCCTATAATGAACAATAATTTTTCGGATTGTGGACCGAAAAAAAAGAAAAAGATATTAAGATTACCACACACCGAATCGAGACAAGCGGTTCGTAACCAAACAAGAGACTGAGGAGTTAAGAGCGGTGCTTCCAATAAAATCTTGTGAAACAAGCTAGAATATTACAAAAATTTCTGCTTGCAAAATGATGCTCGATTTTGAAAGTAATTCTTGAATCAAATATTGTATATTTTACAATCTAAATTAAAAAAAATTGTTGAGATTAGTTTATGTACTTCTGGTACTGAAAACGAATTCATAAGACGAACAAAATATTACGTTTCTTTGTGTTCTCCTCGATCATATAAAGTTTTCAAAAGATTGCATAATACTAAGTCGTAACGTTCGAGACGCGTTGACTCGCAATGATATTCTCTCGCACTGTATGGACTACGACATAAGGAATATCTGAAATGCCGAATTTATTATTATGATTTAAGCTTTTACTGCACCAAACCACCAAAAAAGTTGATATACCCCTGAAATTGTGCATAAAGTTCTGCTATCCATAAAAGTGCCAACTCCGTTCTGGCTTTCTGATCCTGTACAATGAAAGCTGTCAGAAGATCTTCAAACTCGTTACTGGAATCGTGATCAAAACGTGTCACGAGCCTAATCAACAATTTTTGCTGAGCAACACCCGCTCCACCTTGAATAGCTCTTTCTGAAAATAAAACGAACATGAATTTTTAAAAAAAATGAATGGAACCACTCCTTTAAAGTATGTAAAAATACTTTATCCATGTAAGTGAATGACAATCAGATGCTTTCTTCTATCTTTTGTGTACTCCTTATGCATCAAGTAACACCAACTTTTTTGAATGACAATCAAGGCTCAACTAAAAATTTTTGATGACATACTTTCGCTGGCTAATATTCGCTGAAAAGCTAGCAGAATTAATTTCAGCGATTGTTCATAATCTAATTCTTTGGTGATAGAAAGTAAACCGAATTGTATTTTTGACTTTGCATTACTTGCCATAACCTAAAACAGCCATAAAAATATACATTAGAAACTGAAGTCTTTAACTCTGAGCAATCGGTTTATCTTTGAAAAACAAACTCCTGGCAACGGGAATTCAGATTTTTGAAGACGTCGCTGCTGAGTCGAATTAAACTGCAGCGACGAAGAAGGCAAGGAGTCTAGGCCCTCGATTCTTGCTGCTTGGGAAGCTGGAAAAGTCTTCATATGCAAACTAACAATGAAAAAACAACGAGATAGAAAAGTAATTTCGCACTGAGAAACTCATAGAGAGTATTCTATTTGAAATCTCTTTGATTATTAGAATGGAAATCTAATAAATAACCATTACACTGCTGTGATTTTCCCGAACCGACTTCCTCAACTCCTGGACCTAGCTCAGTATTGGTAAACTGAGTTGCAAGCATGCGTGATAAATGGCGAATTTGATTTTCCGTGCCAGCTGCTGCAATAGGAGTATAAGATGATTTAAAAGCTGCAGGCATTTCATTGGGAAGTGCAATCTGAAAATGTGCATCATTTTCAACGCCAACGATTCATTAAGTTTGGTTTTTTTTTTTCTTTCTTTTTTAATATTTGGCACAACTTGTTCAGCATTTTCTTATTTTAGCAGATTGATGACAACTTTTGATGTCTATGAATTACAAATTTATCATTTAAAAGCATCAATAACTAACAAGGGACATCAAAACCAAATCAATGGCAACTTTAGGTGTCAACCGTTCATAAACAAATTGTGCAGTGATATCAACGGATGACTGAGTCTGACTTTTCCTAAAAGACGTACTGGGCCCAGCTTCGTCTTCATAATTTTCGTCATTTTCTTTATTGATATATAATGAAACTGCCTCGGTCCCCTTCAATTAAGAGGAAAAAGAACATTATGCAATTACTTACAAAATCGAAAGTTTTTCTATAAACTTTGACATAAGACTGATATTTACTAGAAGTGAAATTACTATAGCCAACAATTGTAATTAATTAACAAAACTAATGTCCTGTCACCAGAAGTAATTGAATAAAGACCTATATTTGAGTGAATATTTTTAAAACTATTATCTTAAAGATAGCATCAAATTTTGAACACTATAGTTAGAGCAAATCGTTATAGCAACTTTAGCTTTTTTTGCTTCCGGTTCACCGTTGTTTTCAGGAATTCGACAAGTTCTTTTCCGTTGGTCATTTGCAGAAGGTAATGCACGCTGAATCTCCTGAAGTTAAAAAGGGGGGAATATCGTAATATGTAGTTCTTTTTTTCTATACGAATGTTGTATTATGAGTATGCCAAGTGCCTAAGGCTTGAAATAGAGACATGTTCAATAAAATCTGTGACAAAATTACAACCTCTATCATTTTCGAAATCAACCCTCAAAAGAATTTTTTAAGACACTTACCGACTGCGTTGCTCCTAAATCATTTAACACTGTTACCATTCTCGGATGAAACTGTACACTACTAGGATGTTTCAAAAGGCGTATAAGATGCATTTTCAATTCTTTCCGCACGCTTTTCACCTGACTAGTTGACAAGGTTGGTGGAAGATTTGCATGTAAAGCTTCTATGGCTCCTTAAATTTTTGCAGAACTACTGAAAATTGAGGGGAATATCGTAATATGTAGTTCTTTTTTTCTTTTAATTAATGTGTTAAAACTTAATGAATTTTTGAAAAAACAGTAAAACGAGCATACCAATAACTTTGTGAGTGAACTGTGGACGAAGATGAGCAATGTTACACACACAAGTTAAACAAGTTAACAAGTTGAGAGAAGAAATATGAGCTGAAGCAATATGATCAAGCAATGAGTTAAAATTCAACATTGCTTCGCTTTCCATTTTCCGATAAGAAATAAATCGATGATCACGACCGATTTCGTTTAAGCACATACTATCCGCACGGTTTGTATCACTTTCCTGAAGTGATTAAGAAATTGTTTTAATCATGAAATCCAAAGATATATGTTACAAAATATTCCTTTCAAAAAAAATAATACATATATACATCTAAACAATCAAACAAAATAAATAGAAACACACTTCTGTTCGCAATGACTGGGATAAAATCACGGTCTCCAGAAATTTAATGGTTTGAGTTCTGATTCTGAAAAATTAATCATGCCTTCAACAAGGACAAAATATAATGCAAATCATTCTGTTTCGAAAAAAAACAGAAATAAGAATTGCTAAATTACGAAAATTAACCCATCATTATCAGAGTCAATAAGCTGCATGATGCGACCCTTTAGAACTGAAAAAGCTTCCCAGCATCTTGCAACTTCAGGTGTGCGCGACCCTGCAGCCCACTTCAGAACTATCGGGTATAATTGCGAGCACACTATGATAACCTCAAGATGAGTAATTTTAAAATTTTAGAGAAACTTATTCATTTATAAAAAAAGTTAACTCTTTCCTAGCATCATGAGAGAAAGATCTTTATGTGTTAATCCTTTTTTTTTTCAATTTTTACTAAGTTGAAATGTGAACCTTTAAAGTGCTAATTTTAACTGCATTACCTCCAAAGGAAAAGCCTATTATACCTTTTTGATGACGGAAATCGACCCAACACCGGCACTTTCGATTAAATATGAAAGCGAAACAACTGCTTTTTTCATTACTTCGCAATCTTTTTTACTAAATTAAAGCAAAATTTTAAGACAATTTAGAACAGTTTGCAACAATTAAACTTAGCCCTTGCTTAAAAAAATACAAAAACAACTATTACCAAGCCATTTCAATGAAAGATGCAACAAATATGCGCATCTTAGAATCATTTTCCACCACAAATTCGAGCATTTCGTCCAAAAAATTATCAAGAAGGGAGCAATTTTTGCTTCTATTTAACAACAACTCCTGTGCCTGAATTATCCAAACTATTCATATTACAGATTACATCAAACAACATTGATTGTATTACTCAAAGAACCACTAAGACATTTTCAGACACACACACACATGCATACTTGTTACGCTCAATAATTGGAATTATACAGAATTTCAGCGTTCTTAGTAAGTCTTTCATTATAGAACACAATTTATTAACGCGACTACACAACATTAAGTCCTAATTAGTTTAATAAATGACGGATGATATCATTTATTCAAATGCACCATACTTTTTGAAGATGCCTGACACGACATTCTAGTGATTTGCCGGATGATTGCTGCGCTTCACGTATTTCATTACCAATCTGGACTTTATTTTATCAAGCTTATACTCTTCTGACAATAGTTCATTATTTAGACAACTTGGCAAACAAAAAGATGAAATATATAGAAAATGAAAATACAAGTTAGAAAGATAACAAAAATTTACCTCATCAACTGCAGTTTCATTATCCATCATTTTCCAGCCTTTCCAGCAATTCAACTGCCTACGACAATTTTGCTTGAAGTTATATACATACAATATGCAAACTGCAAATGATAAATTAAATCATCCAAATGGAAAAGCTTTGCAATTAAATCAAGCAGCGAAGTTTAAGTATTTTTCTACCATTTTGATCTGAAAACTAAAGAACTAATTTAAAGCACTGTCTTCAAAAAATAAACAATACAGCATAATTTAATTCAAGATAAAGAAATTTTTGCTGTTATGAAATTAAATAGCCATCGTTAAGCAGTGCTTATACTTTATGCCTTCATCAAAAATAGATTCTAAAAACTTTGAAGGATATACTAAATTTCTCATATTTCTTTAAAGTTTTCTTTGTGGTCATTGGTCAATAAATGTGAACCTTTTACAGAGTTACATAGGTTTACGGGAAATATAATCAAACATAATTACTACCCCGTATTCTGTTAAGATCTTACCATATGAAGCACATCTTTTAACACTAATTTTAAAAACACAAATTATACATAACTTAAAAAATAATAGTACTTTTTAAAAGAAGTTTATGTTTTTTAAAAAGTGAGGCGGCCTTTTCGTATAGAATATGGCCTTCTATTCAAGAAGCATCCATAGACCAAAGTTAAACGTACGCTATCACGATAAGTAATCCCTTACCGAAAAAAGTTACCTAGGTTTAATAAATCACAATTAAGGTTAAACATTCATAAGCTACTCCTTTTTCTCAGCTCCTCCAAATCTGTAAAGTTTTTTATTAGTTCACAAAAAGTTTAAACTTTAGCAAATTGGACACAAACCAAATAATTTTAGTTAGTCAAATTTGAACTGAATAAATTCGAATTTTGTTCATTACGTGTTGTATACAGAACTTGTGATTATTTGCCTGAACTGATCATAACAAATGCATCTCTAAATTTGTTATTACTGTTATAAGTCATTTTTTCAGCAAAATGAGTGATAGCGGCGCGGAGACGAAGTCGTCTATATTTGGGGAACGATGCACTAAATTGAGTAAGTCTTTTTGAATATTATTTTATTATGAAATAAAGTTGCTTGATATCATGCCTGAAATTTCGAAAATCGCTTAATTAGAAGAAGGGATCGATCCGACATTTTTTCTGTTTCTGTAATATGCATTGAGAATTACGTCATAGCATCTACTTACTTTATTATTAAAGGCAAGTAACGGTATTCAAACATTGTTTTAATTGTTGTTACTGTAATGAAGTAAAAACATTGTCTTTACTATCATCTCAGTTTCGTAGTAATGTATCTGGCATGTACGATTTTTCTTATGGCATATTTAAAAAAGTAATCCATAATGTTTACTTGAGGAATAGTTCTGCTATAGAATTGATTAAAAAGTCCTAAACACTGCAATTATATTCACTATTTTTTCACAAGTTTTCACAAACATTTTCGCTTTTAATTCAATGAATTTACTTTTCGTATAATTTATTTGGCCATTATCACACTATAAAGTGAAACTGTTCACTAATTGAACGCCAGTTTGATGGAAGATAAGCAGAAAGTGGTTGAAGTTTAAGATAATAAAGTATTCATGTTTTTTGTTAATATCACAAACGCAAAAATTTTCAATAGCTACGGTATTATTCTAAAATTGAAGTTTAAGCGTTTTAAAAAATGTCATCAAAAAAGCGGATTGTAAAAATAATTTGAATTTAGATTTCGCTCAGTCTAATCGTTCTTTGGTTATTGCCAACCAAGACCTTCGAGTTCAGCTTGCACTTGCTAAGACAGAAATTATGCGATACCAAAATGAAATCACCGGCTTAAAGCGATATATAACTGAACTTGAGTCAGCGAATAATAATAGTGAATTCATTGAAATGATTGTTAAAAAGCGATTTAAGGTGAATATTTGCTGCTCTTATCAAGAGTTATTACTAATTTGTTAATTTAGCTAAGTTTTTCAGATATAAAATAGTATGGGAAACGCATTTTTTCTTAAATGCTCGGAAATTTATGTAGCATTCTGAAGTTACTAATAACTTATTGAAATACTTTTTAACATGTTAATGTATTTAGCTTTAATGTAATATTGTTGTGCTAAGACTATTATTGATTAATATTACAAATCATCATCATAATTTGCTCATTAAATCTATTAAATCGTTTTTTTCAGCAAAAAGTAGAGCATTTCAAATTTATAGCACGGCGCACTGCGCAATATTTAGAAAATGCAGCAGCAGACTTTTATCACACAGGCGATTCTTTTGATCAAGCTGTGTTAGTATGTACCTCTGATAAATTTTTAAACTGTTTTATATTGATTTCATTTATCCAAATATTTTCTGAATCTGAAAATTTTTTCAGTATCTTTGAAAATGATGTAGGTTTGACAGAAGAATGCGTCGAAAGCCTATCACCAGTTTTATCAGGTATTTATTTGTTGTATGGTTTTTTATTTGGACCTTTTTATACTACGTGATCAGTTGGCGCCTATTTTCAGGAAATGAAAATGTAAGGCACCGTATGCGACAGCATTCTGCTCTTAAAACTGTAGAAGAGGTTTATTCGTTTACATTTTTATCCGTGCTATCAGTCGCTCAAAAATTGTACTTGCTTCTGATAATAAAAGTGAAACAATTTGGTAGTTTCAGTTTGGTGGTTATTTATAGCTATAGCATTTCTTTGATTCAGGATATCGAAGATGCAGGCATAGTCGAAAATGGAAGTTGTCTTATTAATTCTGTTAAAAATGAAATTATCGATAATACCACTCACGATTTTGAACCTTTAAATAAACGTCAGCGGCACTTACGACGGCAGACTATGTTTATTCCAAAAAAACCTGGTCCGTTGAACTGCCAAGTTGTGACCGATTTCAATTCTTTTCATACGCGTTTCTTCCATTTATCACAAAATATTTTCTGTAGGATTTGCTAAAACATCTGGTAGCCAAATAGATTCACTGATTTTTGAACTGACGAACTTAGGCTGTAATGGAACGAAAATTACTCTTCATTTATTTCACATTAATCTTTATGATGGCATCATAAAGATCATATGCGCAATAAGGGAAGGTTTATTTGGTACTCTAAAATCGTTTCTTTAAATTCTAATTTTCACATGTATTAAAGTTCTCAAAACAAAAAGTTAAGCTTATATTTTCTTTGTTTTAGCTAACTCCCAGCCACGATCTGACATCCCGGTCAGCTTGTCTAAATCTAAAACATCTGATGTATCCTCTGAAATTGTATCGCAAGGCACATCTTCTGCATATAGCGCAGCATTGCAATCAAGCTTGCTTGTCAAAAGTGTTGATAATTTTGAAAAAATTTCAAGCGATGAAGTAATCAAATCAGAAAAAGATTGTGGTGAAATTTCAAGGTAATATTTGAAAATAATTTTTCGAAAACATGGAGAATTGATGATAGGAGGGACCTTTATCAATAACTTCTTGTAGAGAGCACATGAAGACATCGGATGATTCGGAGCAACCCGGAAGTTGTAGTTATTTATCATTATCTTCATCAGTCCTGTCTTTGCCTGTAAATAGTTCCGCCGTTAGTTTGCGACCCAAAAGAAATGCATCAATGAAAATAACTTCTCTAAAAGAAGCAAACTTAAGAGTTAAAATGCGCAATTCAAATGCAACTTAGCTCTTTATGTGTCAATTTAATTTAAAGAAAAGTGAAAAAATGAAGATATTGTTTGTAAACGTGCTTCTTTTAATTTCTTCTTGAACAAAATTTCTTTATATTTCTTTGCTTTTTACACTGTTTTTTATGTATATATTTCAAAAAAGATCTTTCACACCGGTTTCTGTTGTACTTCAATTAGCAAATATCAGTGATTGAAAATTGCTTGTTTGTGTTTGAAGTGAAATATTTTTTATAGATATTATAATTTATTAGACATATAATCTTTCATGCATTCATTAAATAAAGAGAATGCAAACACAACGTTAATGTTATTAGATTTTCTGAATAATATGTGCTTACACAGTATTTGCTTGTTGATTAATCCAGTCCTAATTTCTTGCATATTATAAAAGTAATGCTCTTATACAAGAAGCGGGGTTTTTCGATGAGGTAAAATTTATTATTGAGGTTAAGAATAAAGTGAGTGAGATGAGTTTTATTGTTCAGTGAGAATATTTAAGGGAAATATGCTTCTAGCAAAAGATAAACTCCATCCTGTTAAGTCCCATTTGTGCATAAATTATCTATTTCTTTGAAATATTTTTGAGTATTACTTATGCTACGTGCTGCGGAAACAAAGTCTGTCAGAAGTTTTCAAAATTTTGAAGTCTTGGTTTTTATTATTGTTGAAGTACTGATATTATGCTTAAGATTGCAGTTTCAACTGTCCATGAACTGTTAGTATTTTTATTGTATGTGATTGTTCAAGGTTAGCTTTACTATGGATATAGAATAGAACCCCAAACATATGATTTTCGGTCAAGTCTAATCAGAGAAGTATATACACTTTTAAAGCCGTTTTTAGAATTTACACTGGAATGATTGCAGTTACTGTATTGACTTCTTTCTATTAGTTGTTTAAGCAGATTATGCTTCACTTGGGTGAATCCCATGTAATCTTTGAGGCGGGGAACGCACTGTCTGATATTTTCTACGATGATTTTCACAAAAAAGTGAGATTTAATTTATTATGAAGTAGCTGTTAGAGGAAAGGTTACAGAATTTTGGAGGACTTCGTTCAGCTTTACAGTGATTTGATAAGTTATTATTGCAACAATCGAACATTAGAGTTATTTTTGTTCCGTTAAAAAGTTCTATTTAGATTGTGATAGTTCGTGGTAAAGATGTCGTAGAAGTAAAAGTTTATGGACTGGAATCAGACGAAGTTCTAACATTTCAGTATGTAATAAGTGTCTTCAAGTTAACGATACTATCACTAGTTTCAACGAACTTTTTAGTATTTTATTACTTTTATTTTTTCTCGTTTTAACTTCCTAGACTGATGTTTCAGACTGAAAAAAACGAGCAAAATTCGGATTATCAAATTTTCTCCTGATAAACACTGTATTTCTGTGCAGTCTGATGAATCTGTTGTTGTATGTTCTTACGTAAATTAATCACTGAATAAAAAGTTTTCCTAGTATGCTGTTGTATCTGGAGTTTTAGTGTCAGTTAATATAAGATTATTTCGCTATTCAGAATTTCGTCTAAAAACTTACTTTTTTACAAAATTTTAAAACTCTAATTACTTAACTGCGTATCAGCTTATTTCAAGGATTTTGTGAATTTCGCTACTTGTGAAGAAGGCATATTATCCGTCTCTTTCTCGCAACGAACAAAAAATCGCTCAGCACGTGTTATTGGTTTGGAATGGCTACAAAATAAACAAATTTTGTTTATAACTAATCAGGTTTCGTATAATTTATGCTAATTCCTTGACATTAATTGTTTAAATATTATTCCTCTTGAAAACTAGATTTCAATAATTTTCTACTGATTATTTCGGAAAAGACTGAATTTGTGTGTTAGTCATCGTCATTCATCGGTTTCGATTTAAATTTTTTTTGTTTGAATTATTAGGGCTTTGAAATGCGTCAAGTCAGCATGGAAAAACGATCTGCCAAACTTCTGAGATCACACAATATTTCGATGTACTGGTATTTATATCACGTAAGCACAGTAAAGTTTTGGAATTGGTCTATACATATTTCATTTTGTTGAATTCATTGTTGAATGCCATGTCATCTAAAAAGCTGCTTTAAAAAGAATTGGAAGTAATTACTTTCAATTAATTTAGAGTACGGTAAATGTTGGTATGAAATTTTCTTAGAGATAATGTAGTGTATAATTTCTTTTTACCTGTGGATGATATTCGGAATTGTAGCCTTATTCACAGTTGCTTATCGCGTCTTCTGGGGTTGGTGGTGCTTTGCTGACTCCGTTTATCATTCAGGTACTCTGGTCAAGTTCTAATTCATTTTTTTCGAATCTGTTTTTCAATTCTTGCAGTGCTATAGTGTATCAACTGAAATGTGTTGGATTAGAAGCACATGAAAAATATATTTAGAGGCTAAAAAATTTATCTAAAATTGTAATTTAGACTGGAAGCATACAACAATTAGCAAAGTGTGAAGTAGATTTTGGTCATTCTAATGTTAAACCGCGATTGTTGGAACGAGAAGTATTTATTATATCCATGTCTGTTCTTTCTTTAGTTACTTACTTAGCTGTTATGCTTTAGCTTATTTTAAGGTGCAAATCGAAACAGTTTAAGAGAATTAACACTTTATGGGTATTTGTCTTGACACTTAATTTGAATGTCTTCGAAAATTTCAGAAAAAATTTGTTTTAGTTACTGCATATTGTACATAGCAGTGTTGCGTAGCAGTACTCGTGGTTCGATCAGTTCTGACATTGTTTTGTATAAAATAAATGTGGATGTAACAGAACCACCGCGATTGGCACACATTTTATGTCTTGATTTAGTGGGCGCATTTGCGTTGCATGTATTGAATAATGTGATTGTTGTACATCATCAAGTAATTCTTCAAAATTCTCCTGCTGGTCTTTTGTTTTGTTATACAAATAAAATTGCTGTTTACAGAAGATTTTAAAGAACTATAAAATAATTAAAAATTAGATGAAAGCTTAATAAAAATTGTTAACAAATAATTTAAATTGGTATACCTATGTCTATGTTAATCAGTCTTTATTGTTTTAGAGCTCAAAAACATCTCTGATTTTCGATATTGGTTTAGACGACACAGAACAGTTCAGTTGTGTCTCTCATCATCCTCTTTTCAAAGCTTCATTGGATTGTTCAGTTTCCTTGCAGACCAAATTCAATCATCAATTTCCGTTGTATAGTCCCTCCTGGGTTACTTTTCAGCCTAATTTCATTGCAGATGCTCACATTGGTATCTTCACATCTGTTAAATTGAATCTCAGGGAAGCGGAAAATTATATCAGTGATAAAGTAATGTTTTTTGATTTTATTCAGCTGTTTCAGAAAAAAGTGTTAAGTAATCCAAATAAACTGCTACAATTATTAAATCAATATTATTACCATAGCTAAATTTATTTAGTATCAATATTTGCGTTTCCTGTATAATCGAGGTGTAACTAAGGCTACATTTTTGGAAAATTTAAAGCCTCTGATGGCTTCAAACAAGCTGAAGCTAAAGCAAATAGCACACATTTTTACCTGGATTGCGAAAGGAATTGTCAAACGTTCACATCCAGTACTGAAGCATAGTAGTAATTTCCTTCATTAAAATAATTTACATATATTCTGTTGAAAAACACTATGATCTTATTAATTGCATATGATGTCAAATCAAAAATCTCTATGCACTCGAAGTTTACGAAACTAAGAGCACTGTTTACTGCTATTTAAACCTATAAAATAAAAGTAATAAAATTATATTTCAAAATAACTGTTCGATTTTTTAGGTAGTGGTGGGAAATGTGCTCTGTTAGCTGAACCGTATGAAGAAATTATAATTGAACAAGATGATGTTGTTGGTAATTTGTTCTTGTTACCAGATGATTATTCACGAGTACAGAAGCAACGCTTTCTACAATATATGTTGCAGTATCTCACAGTTTTGCAGGAAAATAAGATAGAAGCTCAGGTTGATTCTTTAAGCATATTTGCAGTTTATGGAAATTAATCATTAGGAGCACATGACCATACGTTACTGATATTTCTGTTTGATATGAATCATATTAGTCCGAATTTGTACTTTACAGGTAGTTGTTGAAACATCGCTGGACATCTTTAATATTTTCTCTAAATATATGTTATAAAAAATGATAATTTTCAAGTTATTGCTCGTATAACTTAATTTTTTAGCTTCGTTCTGCATGTAGCAAAATTTTTCGTATTTTTTTTACACTGAAGGACACGAATCTCTCTAATGCTTTTTTATTTATGATCATAGGGCTAATTTACCAAATTTATCTCGAGATCAAACGGGCATAATTTCAGCCCTATTTCTTGCATGAAGTCTTAATACCTACTACGATTTCGACAGGTCAATTAGAAAGACTTCATCAGCTTCTCTTGTACCGCGTTATTCCAGACTCCAAACAACTTGTTTGTTTTTTTTTGATGAATGTTAAACGATACTATAACATATAAACTGACAATTCAGGGTAGTAATCGGTGACTTTTTTTTCAAATTTAGGCACTCCTGTCTCTGTAACATTATTTTTTTATTTTTCGAACTCAGGCATTTTCAGGCGTTCCAGCTTCTATCGCATGAAGCAAAATACCCACCGCTAGTGCAGCTGGCTCTAGATATGCTTTCTAGGCTTGGTACCGCTTCTGAAGAGATAGTCGAAGTTTTAATAGCCAGAAACCTAGCTGTTGAAGCCATAAGGTTCGTTAAATTAACAAAAATCCTTTACGAAACCTGTTTTTACTTTATTTAATCAAATGTTTAAAGATTTCTGGAAAGCGTACAACTAGTGGACAAAATAAATTGCCTAAAACTCATCGAAAATGCATGGAAGGAGGACCGCATAGTCCGTTATGCTGTATTTTCATATTTTCTAGAACGAGGACCGAAATCTCGAAATACTGCTAACTGTTAGTAATACTTGAAGATATTTGCTGTTAACACACTTTAAAGTTCAGACAATCATTAAATATCTAATTTATTGGCTTCATAGCATACTTTTTATTTTCAGCTCAACAATTCGATGAATTTTTGAAGAAATTTGAAGCATTATTCAAAGATAATGATGCTGAGACCACTATAAAAGGACTTGAAACCAGTAATATTAATCCAACTGAATGAAATCAACAATGATAGTCCTTATATATGCTAAATTTACAGAACAATATAGTGACACTATTCATTTTGCTTTGTTTTGAAGTTTTTGTTCATCATAAAGTGACTGATGTAAATTACATACCACAGTTGAAGTAGACTTAGAAAACTAAAGCGTATAATAGTAAATCATTATTTACAACAATAATCACATGACTTCTTAAACTAGACTATGTCACTAATGCAAAATGAAAAATGAACGAAATATGCAGTTGTTTCTTTATATATTTCTAACGAGAGAGTGTTAATTTCAATCACATCTTAGAAAATATTGCAAAATATTCATTATCTTACTTTGAGATGAGGTTGGAGTTTTGGCAGTCAATAAATATACATAGGGACATTTTACATCCTATGAATATTCGAAGAACTATTCATTTGTGGATCAATTCTTAAACGCCTTCATTTTGGTAGTTAGTGCTTGGAAGCCAAGTTTCTCAGCATATTCTAGTGGTGTTGTGTTAAAATGATCGAGAACACATGGATTAGCACCTTGGTCAATCAGACAACTCACCATTTGCTCATTGTTACATTTTACAGCCTATAATATAAGGAATAAAATAGTTAGAAATCAAAACAAAGTGAAACTGATAATTTAAGTCTTACAATATGCAGAGCAGTTCTACCATCATAATCTGATTGATTAACATCAGCTCCTGCAGCAAGCCAAGAGTTTAATGCCTCCATATCACCGCAACTAGCGCAGATGCACAGTTCAACGCCTTAAATAGTGAAGAAACCTTTAAATTCACCAAAAGACTGTAACATTTTAACATAAATAGATAGTTGTCGCAGATATCAACCAACCCAATCTTAATGGATTTATGGAAATAACAGCTCCAACAGAACGCAAGACGTTGATACTATATTTGTTCTTTGTCCTTACTGCACAAACAAGAGCATTCTCATCCCGATTGTCTCTGCAATAACGAAACAAAAATATCCTTCAAGGGAAGAAACTCCAGCTGTAAATTCGTTGAAACAAAAGACCTGTCATAAATCCTATTAGTAAGACGATTTTTAAAACTAGATTTTCTAACCTAAGATGAGCACTCACGCCCTGAGCTAGTAAATACTTGACCGCATCAAGATGCCCTGCACTAGCTGCTACATGTAAGGCACTGCGCCCGCTATAATCAACAGCTGAAAGATTGGCCCCGTTTTCGCGAAGTGCTTCAAGCACTTCCACATCACCCGTATTAGCTGCATGACATAGTAGTGGTGGAAAGAGAGCGATACGTAAACACTCCAACTCATTTGAAGTACTTAGTTGTAGAAACGTAGCTATACGTGGAACTAAAATATTTTAAATAAACGTTCTAAATTGTATAAGCTACATAAAATACAAAAAATTGTCATTTTAAGAAACTTGCTAATTTCAAGATCTCTCAGTGGTCCAGGCTTTGTGACTGTTAATTCTCCCCTAATATTTTTTCCCATTATTTCTTTTTTCTCTTTATTTTTCCAGCATTTCTTTCCCAATACATAGGATAACTTTGTTAATGCAGCTTCTGCAGTCATATCTGATCCAGGAATAACACCAATATCGTAGAGAACCTGAAAAGAAAATAAAAAATGTGAACACTGCTTTCTGTAATACATTTAATAAAAAAACTTCATATGTTTAGAAAATGTTGTTCAACAGCAGGAACTGATTAAAAACATCAGTTTTTCGTTCCATCTTTTACGAGATATAACAAAATTCTACCAAATTTTCTCACGGAAAAATGAATCGATCCAACTTTACATGGTTCTTGAATAATTCTAGCATGAAATTTATCTAGAAATAGAATTTCAGCTTCATGTAAGGAACTCCAGCATTCGATAAGACTGCTTCTTTTATAGTATATTCTTAAAGAACAAAACTATTTATAGATAAAAAGGACATTTATATAAAAAATCATCATACTCACTTTCCCCGTGAAGTAATGCACATCCACATAACCACGAACACATTGCGAACAGTTGATTATGATACATCCACGACTGATAGCTTTTCTTAATTCATCAATTATATCAGTTCTTCGAGATGGCATATTTCCAGCACCAAAAGTTTGCAAAACAACACCTTCAACTGGCGGTTCTAAGCAACTTCTGACCTACATCACAAAAATTTCTGATGGATAAGAGTGTTCTTACTGGAAAAAACCTCGTATTTCTAATAACTTTAATTATTCGGAGTAAAAAAATCCATAAATTAACCATTCATACATCAATCTCAATAATAAGTGAGATTCCTTATTTAAAATTTCGAAGGTACTTTCTAAGCAAAAGCACTGCAATAAAATAGCTTATATAAATAAATAAATATATTGAACACAATTGCAAAACTTTTCAGAAAAACATTTCTCTAAGAATCACATCTATCCTCTCACTAAATATTTTGCAATTAATTACAAAACAGTCTGATTTTAGCTTTCATTTGAAAAATCTTTCTTTTTTATATTTTTTAAATCGCAAATATGATGCGATAACTTGAAAATTAAATTGAAATGCAACTAATTTCCAATGCATTTAATTTTTTGAATACGAGTACTAATGCCACAATCACTTACAATCTCTATAGGGATAGACGGAAATAGTCGCAATAATCCAACATTTCGACATAATTGACAATGTACAGAAAATGGAGCTACTGTGGACGAACGAAATACAGAATCATAATTAACTATAAAATAACAAAATTAATCAATCTTCGATTTTACAGCAAAGAATTCTTCAGCTAATTAGGTAACATGCTTAAGTGAAAATTCAATTAAATGAACAAAAACTGCTTGCTATTTTTATCTTTTTCGCAGTTATATAATACTGCTAATTAAGTCCAACTCTTTAGCACTTTACATAAATTTATTTGCCTTTCTACCTTTTATATCAATATCCATCTGTGCTATCGGTCGCATATTCGGACTTTCAAAAGCCTCTAGGGCACTGTTATCCATTTTTATAGTACGATTGCCTCGAAACAATTTATTGTTGAAATACACGGTCACTTCAGGAATATCAAAATTAGCCGCTATTATTAAAGCTCCAATTAAATTTTCTCGACCATCAGAACGGACCTCACATACTGGTATCTGATGTATAAATGATATTAATCATTTATTTCAGTTGATATATAATACTGAACTTGTGTTAACATGAAATCATGAAGGGCCAACATACATATAAAGCAGTCATGTTAAATTTTTTTAAACCAAAAAATTTAGAATTTTTGCACACAAGCAGACAAGGCTGTAAAAGCGGCAGAAAAAAAAAAGTGCTATCTATCTATTTATACCTAATGAAAATAAAAATTCCTGTTGGATCTGCACAATATTCATCATAATATCAGTGCACTTACTTGAGCACCAGTAATGACAACGGGCTTCCTCAAATTTTCAAACATGAATGACAAGGCACAAGCCGTATAGGAAAGTGTGTCGGTACCATGCAATATGACAAAGCCATCATAATGATGGTAAGCTTTTTCAATATCTTTACCAATACGAATCCAGTCATCAAATGTCATGTCAGAAGAATCTAGAAGCGGATCATACTCGATAACCTGTAACAAAATTTACTGACTACGTTAATGATTCATTTTCTTCTAATATTTTTCCAATTTTTAATAACATTTTTTGTAAAAAACAAAAGTTCGAATAGTTTAGTTTTATTTTGACACTTAAAAAATAACAGTGCACTGGGAATGTAAATTACAATACTTAAATACAAAGCAAATAGTATTTTTCAGCACAAAATGTGAATTTATCTTCAAGTTAGTCGAATGCATTCACAAATAAAACTTAGTAAGCATAAAAATAGAGAGACTGAAAGGGTAAAATTATATTCTGGAATAATAAATTTTACCCAATAAAGAACACGTTTTTTTACGTGTCGTAGAGGTGGTAAACAGTATGGCTTTACTCGTGCATCACCATAATTCGACACAACATAATTATTATCGTTTAATGGTGGTAAATCTCTTATTGCTCGTGGGAGATAAGCTGGTTCTGGACGATACACTATAAATTATTCTATAATTTACTTTTAAACTAATTAATTTACTGACTACTAATAGAGTTTATCTCCTAATTTATTTAATAGACATTAAAATTAATTTTCTACCAAAATTTTCCAGTAGATACAATGAACACACCTCCGTCAACAAGTTTCATCCCAATCGTTCCACCAGTATAAAGAACCAAAACTCGTGCTTCCTGACCACGAGCCGTGTCAAGTGATATAAGTGAACGCACAGTACTAAGGTCTTCACTTATTTGATTAACTAGTTGCTAAATAATGTAAAATAATAGATGCCACATTTATAAAAATGATTTACTTAATTAAAAAAAATAGAAATCTTATTTTAAAAATAGTCCAACATTGTTCAAAATTTATTTCTGTTTTGAAAGTTACTTGTCTAAAAACAGTTTTTCAGGAAAGCTCATTGAAAATACAAACTTTATGAGTTAGAAGAGCTTTATGCAAATGAAACTGCAATCAAATATAGAATAATAACATACAGTAGCTGAGAGATGCTTCGCAGAAGTATCAGTGTACAACATAAGTGCTTTTGGCGTGTGATGGTCATCAACCGGCATGTTGGTACTGCAGAGTTGAACGCTGAAAGTTGCTTAAAATTCAGTAAAGCTAAAAATAGAGAATGATATAATTCAAAATTTTACTTTCCTTTCTTGCATCATTAAAATAATACATTAAACTAATACCATGAAATAACTACTTTTACAATGCTCTGTTCTCAGAGTCTTTTTTATAGGCTGAAAAAATTTTTTATAAAGTGCAAAAAACGGAATAACGACGTTGAGATCATTTTTAAAGCATGCCATAAAAGGTCAATGAAACTTTTACTTCCTCATGAAACTACAGAAAAAGTTTTCTTTTTACTGCATAAAACCAGTGGAATTTATTCTCTATCTAATAAAAGAAATAATACTTTCACTTACGTCTTAAAACGTTAAATAGGTTCAAAATTTCATATTACACGCAATTTAAAAACAGAATACCGAAGAGAACAATTTATGAAAAACTTTCATAAATTAGAAATAGTTAATTGACAAGTTGGTACTGCTGAACTAAATGTAAAAAGTTGCTTGGAATGCAATGAATTTGAAAAATAATTTTAAACTATTTTTCAAATTTCTGAAGAAATTCATCTTAATTTAGGAATGCTTAATTAATCGAAACTCTATGCTGTGTGGAAATAGAAAACATTATATTAAAATGAATCTCTTCATTAGAAGAAGCACAAAGAATTGTACAGATAAGTTACACTTAATTTCAAACATACCAAACACAAGTAACCAATTTAAAATCAAAATGATCAAAATAATTATGTTAAGAAAACCAAAGATTCAAACCAAGTTGATCTTAGCAAAAATATAAAGATTTACAACTCACACACCCTGCAAATAATGATTAACAGATCTTCAGTATCTCAGAAAGCAACCGCACCACAGAAACCAACCACTGACTACTACTTTTTGCAGCCAAATACATGTTTATAAACAGCAATAGAACATCAGCCTGAAAACAAAAATGCTGCATACAACTTAGTTTGCTTGGGCCAAGCTATTACCACAAAGTGAATCAATATTGAAAACTATTAAAATATTTTTCAATATTGATTAAGAATTTTAAAAAAGGAATTAAGAATTTAAAAAAAACTCATATCGGAAATGATTCTTCAATCATCAATAATTAAAAACTCAGAACACTACTTCATTCATCCCTATCCATGGTCAGATCATCGGTAAATACATGTATACTTTATTCATCAAAACAAATATCGTAATCAAAACATCAAAGCAATACCAATAGCACATGCAATAAACTTGGAAGATTGAAATTAAAATCGAGCCTAATTGTTTTATTCTCATTCATGTATTTAGTACAGAAGAAAGTGAATTGATTACACACTAAGGCACTCAATACAAATAAACCTTCCTTGAAAAAATATGAATTATATTTACAGCAAATGACCGATAATTTCATCGAATTTAGCATCACTTAACTGAAAAAAAAGGGAACAATAAATATTGCAGAAAAATTTACACAACAATAGATGCCATCTGAAGCAATATTTTCAAAACTATGGGAATATAAAATTAATGAATGAATAAAACCACCATTAATATTTTTAGACTACATCTACAGATGTAATTTCAGTCGATAGTATAAGCTAAACTGACAAATACTTCTAATTCACCATGACCCAATTAAATGGCTGCTTGGCAGCAAATACTTGAAAGCTTCACAATTAATTTTCGAAGTACAATTATTGACTACCGTTTCGAGTGGGCGCTAAAGATGATTTACGAGCACCTTCATACTCTTTTTTGACATAGTCAGCCAAACTTTGAGAAGATTCGATTAACTGAAATTACGTAAGTAGCCTAAAAATATACTTGACAGACGTGAACAACAGTTTGTAAATTAAAAAATTTAATTTGCTATGAAAACTGAAAATTAGTGCATGACTGTGTACATCTTATAAGACTCTACATAATGAATACTGGTCATTAAAATTCAACCTGGATGAAAATTATAAACTTGAATTGTATAGAGCTTTAAAATTTATAAATATATTTATAATTTCATCTTTATCTATAAATTTATATACAAGTTTCTTTTAACATTTGAAACTTTTATTTAATAGTTAGCACTAAGTCAATGTTATCACAGCAATTTCACCTTTTCATATGTTTCATTGGCATGCTCTATAGTTGCTTCCAATCTCGAGCAAATTTCTTGTTCCTTGCTTATTCTTGAATCCAAATTGTTAAGTTTCACTTGCAAGTCCTCAATCTTAAACAGAATAATATTCTTTTGATATCAATAATAGCATATTTAATAGTAAATGTTTTAATTTAAATTGTTAAAAATATATATAATATAAATAGAATTTAAAAAAACGACAAATCTAACAGCAAAAAACTAAAATGAATAGATAACTATAATAAAAATAAATATACCTGACGAGCAATCATATCTCGTTCTTTTTTCAAATGAATGATTGCATCTACACTAGCATTCTTCTGTTCACGTAAACAGTCAATATCTAATTTTATGATAATGAAAAGATAAACTTAAATTATGAATGAAAATTATTGCTTACTTACTTTTAAACAAATAATTATTTAAAAAAAAATAATCAAAATATAGAAAAAATACTTAACACAAAAATAATTAATACATCGTGATATGTCTTCTATCTGGTAACCGATTCCTGCTGACATTTTCGAGCAATTTTCACGCACCAAATTAGTATTCTTTTTTTTAGAAATAAGAGAATGTTATAATTTCTTTTTCTTTTTGCTGAATGGCTGAATTTACTGACAAGATTTACGCTTGAACCAGTAACATATCAGTCTAAATTTAAGAACTATTAGCAATAATATATGAACCCAACCTAATTAAATACCTAAACAACCAGCAACGACACAATATTTACATTAATAAAAAGATGACTACTACGACAAATTTATATTCAAAAATGATGAAGTCAAATTATTGAATTACTATTTGAGAACCAAATATTGGTGATAAAAGTTTTAATCACTTAATATTTAAATATCATATTATCATTTTGACTTTGATATTAATACTTAATATCAGTAATAAAAGAATTAATAATAGTAATAATATTCATACTTAATATCAATAATAATATAATAAAATACGCTATGATTCATTGCTGAATCTTTGCATTTATATGTAAACAGAAAATTTTTGCTCTACTCCGAGTTAAATAATAAAGTTAAATAACAAATTAAAGGTGCCACAAGATAATTATATGAATATAAAATTTGAATTGACGGACATTTTCAAAAAAATAAGACGTGCCAGTTTTTACCATAAATTTGGTAAAATACTACTCGGGCAACATCTTTTACCTTTTTTGCTTAAAACAAAAAATGAAAATAATTTTGGAAATCCGAAATTTCTGGTTTTTTGTAGTGAACTGGAACAAAATTATTATCAGAAAATATAGAAATGTACGCAACGTTTTATGATTCAAAAAATCAATCAATCAATTAATTGGTCATTTTGGTAACATTTTTGATAAAATACTTTGATATGTTAAAATTATATTTTTGTAAAAGAAAATTGACTGAAAATTGCCATATCTGAAGAATTCCCAAATTATTGAATTATTATTTGAGAACCAAATATTGATGATAAAAGTTTTAATCACTTAATATTTAAATATCAAATTATAATAATTGGTCTATTGGAAAATATGCATGAATATTATGCCCAAATTGATTTCCAATTATTGTTTGCCTGCATAATTATTTTAAATTCAATTTGAATATCAAATTCTTATTCAATTAAAAACATTGAAAGCAAGCTGTAATATCATTTTTTTTCGAATCTATTCTATAAACTATTTAAATTAATTTCAAAAAATTTAAACGAATAATAATATCAGTTTTTCATACTTATTTTTCGATTACTCTTTCTTTAACAAATAAATATGCAAATTAAATTGATTTAATATGGATAAGAATAATTTAAATTTTGAGCTATAAAAAGCTTTTCCGATCAAAAATATTTTTGTATCACTATGCACAATTTTAATTTCGCTATTTAGTAAATAATTGTTGCAAAATTTAAATTGCTAAGATTTTCAGCTGATTTTTGATAATAAACAAAAACTTCGAAGCTAATTTTTGAAGGGATAGATTTCAGGATAAATATAATAATTGACTATTCATTATTTTTTGTTTGAACTATGATTTAGTACTCTCATTGAATTATTTGGGCATAAGTTTTTGCCACTAATAGCAACTGCAGTAAGAGTATATCCGTTACCTAACTGCGTGTAATATTTGCATTGATGAGTTAGTGTCCAAAAACTATTAATTCCTGTAAACGACCTTTGAACTTGTTGCAGTTTTACTAATTTCAGACAGTTTGAGTACAGCCATGCAACTTAACATTACACAGTATTTCTTTTTTTTATTTGAAAAATATTTTTTGCTTTATTATTATTTTTTCGATCTGGATTTCTTTCTGTCCTTTGCTATGTATTCACTTTCATTAGCTCCGATGGAAGGTCTATAATACGAACTTCTCACTTCACATGAACTT